TGATTAACTGATAAACCAGGCTACCAGTTACTCATGGTATCACTTCCGTCTCCTCGTGCCATTCCTTTGTTTCCGAAAGGATAAGCTAAAGGACCTAATTCAGACTTTGATACACAGACAAAAATTTTATCAGTGCTCAGCTATGTAAACATCTGTCAGGACTGTCTCTGAAACTGATGTTTCTAAGTTGCCAAGTCTGAGCCTTGATTTAGCTCTTTTCTCTAGCTCAAGAAGTGTCCAGCTCTTTGAAGGGATGGAAGCAAATCCAGTCTGAGCAAAGATACCAATTTTGTAAGAGGATGTAATTGCTGTCCTGAAAGTACAGAGGTTACAAAGAAAGTACAGAAGCTATTAATGCTAATGAAATTCTGAGCTGATGCTCGAAGATGCACATCATCTCAAGGCATAATAAAAAATTTGTCTGGTCTTTAACCTGGTTTCCTGGTGGATCTTCAAAAACCCCTGAAATTCTCTCTAGGTCATTGGAGTTTTTGTTATGCTAATGATGTGTCTCATGGCGGGTCTCCAGATAGCTTCTGGATGGGGGCTTGTCAACAGACAGTTGAACCAGAAAAATTCGAAAGATGAACTTTCTGGTCAGCAGAAAGATCAGAAGTTTGGGGCTTGGAGTCACAGGATATCAGCCAGTCCTCCCAACCTCAAGAGAGAGGAGGGAGGGTTAGAGATTGAGTTCACTCTCACACATGTGCGCATGCACACACACACCCCAATGATTTAATCAGTCATTCTTTCATAATGAAACTCTAGTAAAAACTCAGGATACTGAAGCTCAGTGGAGATTCCTGGCTGGTCAACACACTGACGTGCCAAGAAAATAATGTCCCTTGACTCCGCAAAGGGAGAGCATGGAAAGGCCAAGTCCAGGATTTTCCTAGACTACATCCTATGTGTATCTATTGTAATAAAACTGTAATCATAATTTTCCTGAGTTTTCTGTGAGTCATTCTTGTGAGTTATCAAACCTGGAGAAGGTTGTGGGAACCCCTGAATTCGTAGCCAATTGGTCAGATATATGGGTGGCTGAGAACCCCTGGGACTTGTGGCTGGCATCTGAAGCAAAGAGAGACATACTGGGGGACTCTTAAGGTTTCTGGATCCAATTCCAACATAGCAAGGGGAGACACCCCAACTCCCACTTCTACCACAATACCAAGCAATTCCCAGACACCAGCAGGGTGTCCAGCAGGACATCTGAAAATTCAACTTAATTCTAACACTGTCTACCCAGACATGGCATCAGGTTCCATAAGTTATAAATTCAGTCTTACAAGACTTTTCCCCACCCCAACTTCAGATTAGAGGTTCCAACCACCTCCTCCTTGGGTTTGATTAATTTGCTAGAGTAGCTCACATAACTCAGGAAACACTTACATTTATCAGTTTATTAAAGGATACGAATCAACAACCAGATGGAGCTTCTGTCATGGAGTTTGGTGGTATTTGGTGACACATTCGGTTCCACAAGTGTGAAAGCTCTCTGGAAAAAAAAAAGGACCAATAAGCTGCCCTCTTGGGTTTATATGGAGGCTTCATTGTCATGGTTGACTAAGTCTTTAGCCATTGGTTGTGTCAACCTTCAGCTCCTCTCTTCTCCTACGGTTGGGGTTGGTAGTTGGTGGGTGGGGTGCACTAAAAGTTCCAACCTTCTAATCACATAGTTGGTTCTCCTGGCAACCAGCCCCATCCTTAGGTGCTTTCCAAAAGTCACCTCATTAACAAAAGATAGCTTTGCCATTCTCCTCATTTTCTCAAGGAAATTCCAAAAGTTTTGTGAACTGTATATAGGACAGAATCCACAGAGGAAGACCAAATATATATGAAAAATATACTTTGGTCATCTGGAAGATCAAATATATATGTAGTTCTTATCCACAAGAGTGGATCCTGGGTTTTAACCACAGAGGCATCTTCTGAAGTCACAACCCATTCTCAGAAGAAAAACATATTCTAAAATAGTGTTCTATATCTCTCTTCCTACAAATCAACTTTATTCTTAATATTCCATAGTCCCTTAAAACACTCACCAGCTTTCTGTAACTGTTCTAATTATAAATCTCCAATCTTATATGATGTTTCAGCAATAAATCTAATACTGTTACTCTAAATTCCTCTAAATTCCCAGAAGAAGGAAAATATATGTGAATCTGTGATTACTTGCATTTGTCAAATAGGCAGAACCTAGAGAGAAATAATCATTTTTCTTTTCTAAACAAAGCACTAACTTTGATATTATGTGACAACCCAAGAGAGTTCAGGGATTAAATGGACCTAATAACCTTATGAGGTTATAGGATAGTGGAAGACAGAGAAACACAAAGACAAGGAAGCACATTTCTCTTTTTCATTTTACAGATCAGGAAACTGATAGCCAGATTAAGAGTTTGAATCTTGGGGCACCGGGCAGCTCAGTTGGTTAAGCATCCAACTCTTGATTTCGGTTCAGATCAATCCCAGAGTTGTGAGATGGAGCCCCAAGTCAGGCTCCACGCCTGCTTTAAGATTCTCTCTGCCCCTCTCCCCTGTCTCTCACCCCACACCCTTAAAAAAAAAAAAAAAATCTTGAATCATTTGCCCATTTGCTGCTCCTTGGGAAAGCCGAGGTTGGAGCTCCTCCCCTGATGTGGCCTGGCATCCCTCCTCTAGTAGATTTGGAGATTATGATATTGAAATAACAAGTCACTGAAAACCCAAATACAAATAAAAATACTTCATCTATTGGCCTTCCTAAAAATGTAGAGAATCTTTTAGTGAACTTAACATAGTAATTTAATACTGAAATTAGCAGATAAATTAGAGTTTTAAAGAAAGAGAAAGTTTTAACTGCCCATTCCTGCCTCTGAAGTAGGAAAGGTGTTCTTTACACATAACCAGACCTGATGCTCCTAAAAAGCCCAATTACTATCATGATCAAGTACAAACTCTTTAATTTAGCATTCAAGATTTGACATCAAACTATCAAACCATCTCCACTACTCATTAACAGTTCTCCAGGGTGATCCTACAGTAACCCTGTTTACATGAAGAATGACCTCCTCCAGGCTCTCCCCCCATCCTGTCTCCTTTGGCCCCTTCTGCTCCTTTCCTTGGCTTTGGACTTTGAACCTACCTCACCCTCATCCACCCCCAACTAGGCTGTGAGCCACTCCTGAGTCAAAGAAAGGACCCCAGACTGTGTAGCTGGCACTCTTCAATGATACCCAGGCCCTCCTCTGCTGAGCTATGGCTAATGTGGGCAATTCCTCAGAACTCTTCTTTATTCTTTGTAATAGAATCTGCCCTGGGCAGATCACCACCATGAAAGAAAAAAGTCTAACCCAACAGAAAACCTAAACCTTCTGTGCAGGTGTCATGAGAAACTTTCAAAGCCACTTATTTTAAAAATGCTATGATAGTAAGGGAGAGATCGACCCCCCACCCCCCTTCAAGGCCTAATTCAAGCTCCACCTTCCTCATTAAGTTTTATGTGACAGGCCCCATTTCCCCTCCCTCCTCTGGATCCCCTTAAGAGATAATCTGAACACTAATATGATAAGTAATACACATGTATACCATCTTTAAATAGTTTTCTATGACTGCATCTTCATCTCCCGGACAAAGCCACTAGCTTCTTATGGATGGATCTGTTTGAGTTGGACATAATTAGATACAAATCCAATGACAGCTGGTATACGATGGATGTTCAATCAACATTTCCTAATTGATGACTGAGCCGTTATCAGACACAAGTTGAAAACCTGAATGAACGCAACCATCTGCTAATTCCTGTGATGGTCAGCAGAACCTAACATTTGTCTAAAGACTCCAGAGTGAGCCCTCTCTCTGTTTTAAGTGCTACAAATCGGATTCTTGTGTAGATTCAAATTGGTCAACACTGGGGATGGAATTCTGGACTGTGAGAGCATTAGGATTTCCAAAAGCTGCTATTTTTTTTTTTTTTTTTTTTAGGGCCCTAAGAGAGCAAACCCCCACACAGCTTCTGCAAAAGGAAGGTAATCACATTAATTATTTGTATTTTACTTGCATTGTTATGTGACTTTTGAAACAACCTGGAGAGGTAGAATGGGAAGTCATTGAAGTCCAAGGGGCAGGGGAGGTGAACCATGAGAGACTATGGACTCTGAAAAACAACCTGAGGGTCTTGAAGGGGCGGGGGGTGGGGGGAGGTTGGGGGAACAAGGGGTGGTGGGTATTAGGGAAGGCACGTATTGCATGGAGCACTGGGTGTGGTGCAAAAACAATACTGTTACGCTGAAAAGAAATTTTAAAAAAATTAAAAATAAAAATAAATAAATAAAAAAGTCTAAGGGGCAGAGAAGCTAGGTTGATTCTTTTCCAACTCACTTTTAGGCAGGAAGCATCGGCATATCACATATTTCTTCTTAGACATCTGGCCTCCTTCGCAAAGAGGTATCCTCATTTATAACTCCTGAGAACTTGGGTCTCCAGAGCAACTCGTTCCACAGAAGACGTTGAAGGTTTCCTTGTTGGCCTTCTACTATCTATTCAAACTCTTCCACTCTTATTTTAATTGCCATTTGGATGAAGGAACAGCTCCCAGGACCTTGAGCCCTCCTCTGCTTTAGGGCACCCAATCTTCAGGTGAGTTAAATCAAGCCCAGAGGTCTGCAAGGGTACTAACCTATCTTCTTCACATGCCATAAATCACCTACATAACCAGCCGTGAAGTGCCTACCGACTTGCTCTCACACCGTAGTCACTAAGCCAAAATTCTAGGGCTCCCTCCCCACGCGGTACTTCAAAACCCAGCTTGCACTCCGCCCGCCGGGAGTTTACAATTCAGCGAGGACAGCGGGGGAAGTGGGAGGAACTAGCGATGCGCGGGAGGGAGGCGGGACAAATGTCTCCCGGCAACGTCCCCGGCAATTGGCCAGCCGGTCTGCAGCCGAGGCCAATGGCCAGGCGTCTTGCAAACGCCCGTTGCCCCGAGTGCGGCTGCGCGGGAGATTCAAATCGGTGGCAGCTCCTCGCCGGCGACGCGGGAGGGCGGATCCTGGCCTGCGGCCTCTCGCCATGGATAACCCGGAAAATGTCTTTCAGTAAGTGTCGGTCGGGTGCGATGGGGGCGAGGCGGGGGCGCATCCCCCGGCTGCGGACCGAGGAGGGGGCTGGAGTACCCAGAATTCGGGGTCTGCAGGTCCCCGCCCGGGGCGGCCGCGGTCCTGCCTCCCTTTGCCCCTCCCGCCCCTTTCCGTGGCTTTGGTGTGTTTCTTCCCCGTCTTCATTCCCACCCAGCTAGGCTGTGAGCCACTTGTGGGTCGTGGAAAGGACCCCCGACCGTGTAGTTGGCGCTGTCCGCTGAGACCCCAACTCTCGTCCTCCGAGCTGCGACCACGGGGGCAGTTTAGGGGGATTTGACCAATTCGAGGCCCTCGGAGCTCTCGGTTCACCTCTGTAAGGAATCCGCTCTGGGCAGATTGTCGCCGCGGGAGAAAAGTCTACCCCAGCAAAACCCCTAAGCCTTGCGTATAGGTTTCATGAGAAACTTTCAAAGCCACTTAATTTACCAATAATAATAATAATATAATAAAATAAAAAAAATTGTAGTACAGTAGGGAGAGAACTTAAAATAGCTCTTACCCATAATCCCACAGTCAGTTTGAAAAGAGTCTTTGAATAACGTGAACTTTACAAAAAAGCTATGCTTATTGTCATTTAGGTTAACCTGCTAACAGTTTCTTACATTCTCACACCTTAGCTTTATGACTTTAGGTGCTTTATCTAGAGTGTTTCAAAAGCATTTAAAACAGTTCAGTCATATGTGACAGGAAGTAAAACTGGTTTTATCAGCACCAGGGTAATTTACTCTCTTGAGGGATCAGAAGACCGAGATCGTTAAGTACAGCCAAAGCAAAAACCTGTTGCCTTGAAGACAGCAAACTATTTCACTTCTAGAAACTTGTTTTCCCCATTTAAAAGGGAAATCGGGTTTTTCTCACCTCATTTGACTTTGTAAAGACTAATTTGCTCCAGTGAACTGGATGTTTTGGGTATTCATTTACAGTGTATTCAGGTCCTTTAGGGAAATGTGGTTGGTATTGGAATATGAAATGTTTATTTGCAGCGGTCTGTTATTAACTTAATTTGGGGGAGCACACCTATGAAGCATCCGAAGGAGATTAAAATTTAGAAGTGATTACTTTTTCATTTTTAAAAATAAGTAATACATTTATTTGGCTTTTTAAAAAGATTTTAGAAAGTATTCACTGAGATTAATTATGCCTGCCTACTCTCCCAACCCCTCATATGGAATCATTTTTCTAGTTTAATTTTCAAATGTTTCTTTTTGCAGATATATTTATATTATAATATTACATTAGTATATCTATATATGCATGCATATATGTGTGTATATGGAGGGGTGTATATGTATATGTCTGTACAATTGCTGCCTTTATTTCATTTAAGTGTAGCTTTTTTTGCTTAACAGTATCCTTGGAGATCTCTATCAGTCTATAGAGCTCTTTCTCAATCTATTTTACAGCTGCATATTTCATGTACCATAATTGATCTAAAAAGTACCCTATTTATGGATCTTTGGGTTATTAACAGTCTTTTTCTAAATAGAGCTGCAGTGAAAAATCTTGTACGTGTGGCATTTTGCACATACACAAATATATCTGGTTTTTAGATTCCCAGAAGTGGATTTGCTAGATCAAAAATAGATCCGTCTGTAATTTTGGCAGATATTACCAGTTCCCTCCGCAGGGATCATGAGCACTCTTACCTTCAAGCAAGATGTGAGAGTGCCTGTTTCCCATTGCTTCATCTATACACTGTTGCCACATTGTTTTAGTTTTGCCAATCTGGTAGGTGAGAAATTCTATCTGAGTGAGGTAAATTTCTCTTGTTAGAGAGGTTGAGTATTTTCCTTTGAACGCCTTTTTTTTTTTTTAATTGTTTTACCCCCCAATTTCTAAAAGCTGTTTTTTTTATACCAGTTGATCATTTCTCTTTTGACTCTGCTTGATGTTGTGTTTATTTGACATGTGGAAGCTTTTTATTTATATATAGTTTACTTTATTGACCTTTTCTTTTGTGTCTTCTAGATTTTGAGTCCTAAGAAAAATTGATTGCATTGGTATATATATGCTAGCCAGGAGAAAGTATTGCTTTCAAATCCTTTTTTCAAAAAATCATGTTATTTATCCGATAGAAAACCTGAAGTCTTTCTTAGCTTGACTCTCTCATATCCAGGAAGCAATCCTATAGGCAAGTCCCATTATTTCTTCAAAACACCCCAAATTCCATACATACTTGCGTTGTTCCCACCCTGGTCCAGCTCACCACCCCCTAGGACTCTAGTAGCTCCCTGACTGGTTTCCCACTTCTGTTCTCATTCCCCATTCCCTTTGCTTGAAGGAGCAGAATGGATGTTTTAAATGCACATTACATACTGTCACCCCACCCTTCTAGCTCAGCACACTTAAATAACTGCATGGCTCTTTGACTTTGATCAAAGTGCTACCCCCTCGGAGAGAATGGCCTTCCCTGACCATTCTATCTACAAATTGTAACTCTTGTCATACTCTTACCTCATCTTCCGTTTTGTTTTGTTTTTGTTCTTTTTTCCCCTAAGTTCTTAATATCACCTGACTTTATTTCACATGTTCTGTTTGTTTGTTCATTTGCCCCTGTAGTACCCAAGTGCCCTTAGAGAACTTTTCTTCACTTGGCTGATTTTTTTTAAGCTGTGGATAGGTATGTGAAAGTAGCAGTAAGCAGAGGAAGCCATAGTGGCTGATTTATGAATATTGCCATTATATGTTCTTTGTCAGGGACTCAGTGTTGCACTGGGGCCCAGAAAGCGAAGTGTCTGGAAACCTGGTAGTATCCTACACTCCCATGCCCACTCACAAACCCCCTTCATGTCTCTTAGCCAAGTCTTAGCCAAGCTTCTGTGCAGCAGGGTGAGGGGGTCCCACCATTTGAGGAATAGCAACTTGCGGACATTATCCTCAGGATGGCAGTGATATTGGGCATCAGTGACAGGAGAAAAAGATCCTTTGGGATAGAGTCTGGGACCCTCTTCCAGCTGCCTTTTTATAAGGGCTAAATTCAGGGGCCTTGGATCTTGCTATCTTCTGGAAAGATAACTGTGCTTAAATTTTCTGACCACTTTTAAGTGAATAATCTTTTAATTTTTAATGTAGCATTTGAACTGGTATTTAAGATTCCATTTAAGCTGTATAAATGAGGAACATAAAATATATCTTTTGCTTTTAGGAATCATCCCTAATAAGTCATGTGCATATTTTTCTCTGTTCTAGAATGTTTGAAGCCCATATGCAGAGCTACAAGGGCGATGACCCACTTGGTGAATGGGAAAGGTTAGCATTTAGTTTTTTTCCTTTAAATAAACTACATGAAAAAAATAAATAAATAAACTATATGCTGCCTTGAAAATTAATATTATCCATATTTTTCTAGTTACATGCAGTGGGTAGAAGAGAACTTTCCTGAGAATAAGGAATACTTGACAACTTTATTAGAACATTTAATGAAGGAATTTTTGGATAAGAAGAAATACCACAATGACCCAAGATTCATAAATTATTGTTTAAAATTTGTAAGTATGCTTTCAGGTGTATAATCTAGTCCGTAATCCTACTGTACTTTTGCTTGTTTCCCCAGATTTTAAGATCATTTTAGACTGTCTTACTTTAACTACTCTGTTTCCAAAGTTGTATGGCCAGAAATGTGTATTTTGGAAACTTTTGGCTTCTGTATTGCAGAGTCAGTAATTTAATTTTAAAACCCTTCTCCTCGGGGCACCTGGGTGGCTCAGTGGGTTAAGCTGCTGCCTTCGGCTCAGGTCATGATCTCAGGGTCCTGTGATCGAGTCCCGCGTCGGGCTCTCTGCTCGGCAGGGAGCCTGCTTCCCTCTCTCTCTCTCTCTCTCTCTCCCCCCCTCTCTGTCTACTTGTGATCTCTCTCTGTCAAATAAATAAATAAAATCTTTAAAAAAAAAAAAAACAAAAACCCTTCTCCTCTATCAACCACTATAAGTGTTATGATGTGAGATAGAAACTGTTAAATTAAAAGGTTTGTTGAATGGGAGGGGGGTGGGGATAGAAGGATAAGCAGACACTGCCAGGTACTCAGAGGGTTCCTGGGAGTAAAGTAAATTCATTGTGAATAATTAAGAAAATATTAACTCTCTGGAACTAAATTTAATACTAAAAGGAAAAGGCTGCCTCAGGTTAAGCATTAAAAGGCCGGACCTCTTCAGTTTTGAAATGAAGGCTTTGGGGGCAGGAGTTCTAGTAATCATGAATGGGTAGAGTTAAGATGGATTTGTTCACTGAATTATAGGATAGTAGGATTTGAGGCACGCTATGGTACTTGAGCAGGCCCCGATTACGACAACTGTAGTACTTACTTCATGAGTCGTTATGGAAATCACTATCCTGGGAATTAGTGTGGGTAATTTTGGGAACATTGAATGTCAAAGGAAAGGAATAAGCTTAATTTTTAGGTTTGCTGTCAGAGAGCCATATAGCCTGAGGACTCCATGAAGACTGAACACAGAAGATGGCTGGGCTCTGGGCCATACCTAGACCACCAGTTCCTTTGTTCTTATATCTGTTTGCTTTGGGCTTCTGTAGGCTCAGTACAACAGTGATCTTCATCAGTTCTTTGAGTTTCTGTACAACCATGGGATTGGAACCTTGTCATCTCCTCTCTACGTAGCCTGGGCAGGGCATCTGGAAGGCCAGGGAGAGCTGCAGCATGCCAGCGCTGTTCTTCGGAGAGGACTTCAAAACCAGGCCGAACCAAGAGAGCTGCTGCAACAACACTACAGGTAGTTGGAAAATAAAACTCGGGGTGCCACCTTCGGCTCAGGTCATGATCTCGGGATTCTGGGATCAAGCCCTGCTCAGGAAGGAGTCTGCTTCTCCCTCTGTGCCTCCCATTGGTCATGCTCACCCTCTCTCTCAGATAAATAAATAAAATCTTAAAAAAAAACAACTCTACATGGTATTCCCTACTTGGAAATGTCATGTTTGCTCTTAAAAATCTTTTCTTATGGGGCACCTGGGTGGCTCAGTTGGTTAAGTGTCTGCCTTTGGCTTAGGTCATGATCCCAGAGTTCTGGGATCGAGCCCTGCATTGGGCTCTCTGCTCAGTGGGAAGCCTGCTTCTCCCTCTCCCACTGCCCCTGTTTGTGTTCCCTCTCTTGCTGTCTCTCTGTCAAATAAATAAATAAAATCTTTAAAAAAAAATTTAAAAATAATCTTATTAATCTGTATGGAAAATTCTCATTGTGAAAATGTGGATAATACAGAATAGTATAAAGAAAAGGAAATTGCCCAGAAATATTACTATCAACATTGTGGTACATTGCCTTCCAGTGTCCTTTCCTACACCTGTGTGTATGTCCTTGTATTTGTGTATTTAAGAGTAAATCATACTGTATGTTATGTCTGTTGAGCTTTATTCTGTCCTAGAAACTTTTATACTACCTATAAAGTAGGTGTAAAATCTGTCCCAGAGTTAGGTCATAATTGAAGTGTTCTCTAAATCAACATTTAAGATGTTTTCAACATTTTGATTTTTATGAAGAACAACATAGTGAATATCTTCATGAATAACTCTATTTTTCACAGTTTTTATTTTTTTCTGTCATTAAATAGACCTCATTTAGGACATTTTGAAAATATGGAAAAATAGAGAAACAGAAGAAACCCGGCATTTTAAATATTTTTTTAAATTTATTTTTATTTATTTGACAGAGATCACAAGTAGGCAGAGAGGCAGGCAGAGAGAGAGGAGGGGAAGCAGGCTCCCCGACAAGCAGAGAGCCCGATGTGGGGCCCGATCCCAGGACCCTGGGATCATGACCCGAGCTGAAGGCAGAGGCTTTAACCCACTGAGCCACCTAGGCGCCCCGAAACCCGGCATTTTAATTTGGCACATTTTTCTCTGCTTGTTATAGGATTTAGAGTCATGCTTTAACACGCCTGAAGCTTTGTGTTACAGTCTTTTTCTTTTATCATAGAGTTATCTCCCAATATATTTCCGATTTTTATCTCATTCCTTCAGATAGATTCTCAGAATTGAAACTCTCTAGTCAAAGGGTATATGAAGGGTTTTTAAGTTTCGTGGTACATAGAATCACATTACCTGCTCAAAAGGTAATACAAGTTTTTTGGTGGCCCGCTCTTTAGCAGACTATGAAGTAACTTATCTCATTGTACCCCTTGCTAGCATTTAATATACTCATTGTTTTCAACTTAGCTATAGCGCTCATGTTTTTTTTAAACTTTTTTATGAGAATTTTCAAGCATATATTAAAGAAAGAAAAATTAGGGGCGCCTGAGTGGCTCAGTGGGTTGGGCCTCTGCTTTCAGCTCAGGTCATGATCCCAGGGTCCTGGGATTGAGCCCCACATCGGGCTCTCTGCTTGGCGGGGAGCCTGCTTCCCCCTCTCTCTCTGCCTGTCTCTCTGCCTACTTGTGATCTCTGTCAAATAAATGGATGAAACCTTTAAAAAAAAAAAAAAAAAGGAAGAAAGAAAAATTAGTATAATGAACCTCTCATTTACCTATCACCTACTTTTAAATAATTATTAACATTTGATCATGTTTTTGTTATGCTGAAGAATTTAAGGCAAATCCAAGACAGCAAATATTTTACCCCAAACACATAAACATCTCTAAAAAGTGATTTTTTTTAACAGAACCTTATGCCATTTTCATACCTAACAAATTTTAATTATAATTCGTTAATATCCTCTAATTTTCAGTCCTTCCTCATCATGTAAAACATTGTGGGTTTTTTTGTTTTTTTTTTTTAATTGTTGGTTTGTTTGAATTAAGAGTCACAAGATTTGGCATTTGGTTATACATCTTTTAGTCTCTTTATACTATACACTCTTGCTCACATCACCCAAAAATGTCAGGTTTGGAAGTTGCATATTACTTGACAAGTGAGATGGTGTGCAAAGGTGTCATGAAATGACATTTTTAAAAATTCTCACAGCATGAACAGTAATATATCTGCATTTTGGAGTGGTAGTCTAAGTTTTGGACTTCTTTCTCCTAAATATTATGTTCATTATGTTCCAAGTGTGTAGAATGCCTAAGATAGGGAGCTTAAGCTCCCCATGGTGTAACATTTGCAGACTTGATATACAGAGGAAGAGGGTACATCTGTTATGTGAGTTTGAGAAATACTGACATAAACCAGGCAGACGGGGGAGGTTTTTCTAATGTAGTATATTGGATATGAAGAAAATCCCAGAATTTTTTTTTTTTTTTTAATTTTGAAGCAATTCTAAAACTCAGTTTGACATTCTCTCTTGATCTCAGTTTTCACTAGCTTGTGATAAGCTGTCTTGATAGGCTGAGATCAATCCAGATAGCTAGATTTAGTTTTTGCTTTAATACAAATATGTATTTAACTAAGTTTATAATCTATATTGATGTTTTCACTCCTGTCATTCAGGTTATTCCAGGCACGCCTCACTGAAACGCATTTGCCAACTCAAGGTAAAATAATGCTTTCTAAAATGTCTGAGTTATTAATAATGTAGTCTCTGATTTGCACTGCCTTTTTTCCCCACCAAAAAAAAAAAAAAAAAATTCATCCAGTATTTATTAATTGTATTGTCTTAGGTAATGGGGAAGGCAGCCTGGTAATAATGCCTAGAAACAATCCCTGGAGAACAGAGCTATGTTTAAGCAAATTAAAAGAGCAAACCCCCAAGAAAACTTGATTTCATTATATTTTTAGGACTTAAAAAAATTAAAATTGTCCAAAATAGAGGATAAGACTTATTCTAGAGTCCATCTATTCTGAATTGAGTCAAGTGTGTTTAATGCAACTTTTAAAGAAATGTTGTCATCATTCTTTGGAGATAAAAATTACAGTTCAGCAATAAGCATCAACTATCCCATCCTTTTATTTAAATTATCTCTATAATATTCCTCTTATCTAAAAAGAGTTTTAGTTACATTTTCTGAGACAGTGGTCAATGAGTTGATTTATTTCTTACACAACTTATTGAAAGACCAGGGGAATGTATTTGTAATAATTTTACTTAATATGGTTTTACCCTTTTTTCTCTTTATTTCATCTTCTGTTCCTCCCATAGCTAGAACCTCAGAACCTCTCCACAATGCTCAGATTTTAAACCAAATGATGACTTCAAAATCAAATCCAGGAAATAACTCAGCCTGCATATCTAAGAATCAGGTAATAATAATACTCGTGGGTCGTGTGGGAACTGGTATTGGCTTTGAACAGCCATCCAGCTGCCTTTCTCATTTGTTTGACCTTCTCTGACAACTAACCTCTCTGTCACCTAAGTGTCGCCATCTACCACTGCTCACCTCCAATATTAAATTTAAATAACTTACTGTCTGGCCTTTACTTCCCATATTTATCTGACTTAGGGACCCCCCTATATAACCTGTCTTCACTTCCTCCCCAGCAGTTGCTCTCCTCCTTTGTCCACCAGCCTCCCTCACAAGTTATGTTTCCAGTTTCCTGGTTCACTCTTTATGTTGTACGTATTTCCTCGTATCCTCTTTCACTCTCTACTGCCACGTGAAAGTGATTTTAAACTCCTCTTCTCTTCCCTCAAACTTGGGACCCAGTGGTCTTTAACCTCTCCTTCAGGAGCTGGCAAAAATAATATTTTCATGAGACAACAAAAGCCATTAGATGACGTCTGTCAATTTTCTGCCACTAACCAATAAATATAGTTGTACCCTCCCTGCCATCACAGTTGGGAAAAATGGTTTTCCACTTGTACTTGTCCTTCATCCTCCTTGAGTCTTTGCCCTGTTGAGATCTCTGCTGCTCAAGTCTTTGTTTCCCTCGGCCTTGTTTTCCAGCATCTGTCCTCTCCTTGGTTCAATTGCTCTTTCACTTTCCTTAGGATCCCCTTCCAGTTAAATCCAATGGGAGTGCTTCTTTTCTTAGTGCACATGTGCAGGTTTTATTAATGTCACACATTCCTAGACATGGAATATGCATTTCTCATTCTGATAGATACTCAGACTATCTCATTTTACATTCTACACATTTGCCAGTCTCATTGCTTTCTATTGCCCCAATATGTAAACTTTTAGACAGCAAAAATGGTCTTATTTACGGTCACATTTCCAGGACCTAGCTCAGGGTATGACATCTACGAGATATTTAATAAATGTTTGTTTAGTGAGTGAGTGCCAGCATTGGGAACTCCTGAGGATACAATAGGACCAGAAGGAAATTTTTATGTTTCCTTTATTAATGTAGAATTTTAGAACATTAATCCCATAACACATAGGTACTCTTGCCCAGCTCCTAGTCTATCAATTAGAGGGAAATAGCGTCCTTCTCTACTACTAAGTAGAAATTTTTCCATAGGTGTTGGGGGCCAGGGGCAGAGGGAGAGGCAGAAAGAATCTTAAGGAGGCTCCATGCCCAGTGTGCCTGACATAGGGCTCTATCTCACAACCTTGAGATCATGACCTGAGCCAAAAATCAAGAGTCAGATGCTTAACTCACTGAGCCACCCCTGTATCCCCCGCCCCCAAGGAGAAATTTTCTTAAATCACTCTTAATGGACTTTTAGTTACAAAAGTCATAAGATTAATAATTAATAGTTAATGATATAATTAATTGATTGTAATTAAATAATCATAATTTTAAAGAACATATATGAATCTAGTTGATGATTGGGGCGCCTGAGTGGCTCCATTCAGTTGAGTGACCGACTCCTGGTTCTAGTTCAAGTTTTGATCTCAGGGTCCTGAGATGTCAGGCTCTGGGCTCAGCAGAGTCTACTTGGGATCCTCTCCCTTTGCCCCTCCTGCTGTGCTCCCTTGCTTGCGCTCTTTCTCTCCCTCAAATGAATAAATAAATAAAATCTTTTAAAAATAAAAAATAAAGAAATCTGGTTGATGAAGAAGCCGCTCCAGTGCTTTCATATTGTTTTGTGGAATACTTTGGGTGACAGTTTCTTTTCAGTTAAGTGAATACTTACATTCCTTTTCTGTCTTTTTAGGGTTCAGAAGTTTCTGGGGTAGTATCTTCAGCTTGTGATAAAGAGTCGAAAAAGCAAGTATAACCTGTGCAGTAATCTCAGTTTCCTTCGAGAGCTGTTTCCGTACACTGCGGTAAATAATACATTTTTCCCCATTATAGGGAACAAAGGGTGATCGTGATTTCTAAATCAGAATATTCTGCACAAGCATCTTCAGCAGCCAGAGCTGACGTTCAGCAGGTTGTCATGTATTGCAAGGAGAAGCTTATTCGTGGAGAATCAGAATTTTCCTTTGAAGAGCTGAGAGCCCAGAAATACAATCAACGGAGAAAGCATGAACAGTGGGGTACTTGCACTCTTACGATTTGAGATACTCTTATGTCACTGAAAATAATAACCTTTGAGTAAACTACCTTTTTAAACAGGTGATTGACTAAGCTGAAAGAATCTGTAAAAACATCTTTAGAAATCTTTGTTAAATACAAGTGTGGCAGCCACATGTGTCCAGGGACTCAACTGATGTCTTGACAGCAAGGCTCAGAGTTGAAACAGCACTGACATAGATCAAGTAGATAGACCAATGTTGCCTTCGCTTTTAGTAATGGTTTAAGCTTGTAAATATTACCCGTATGGGTTTGAACTTCTGTACATAGTCCTTTTAAACCTGTAGGTCATTCATTTGTGCTGTAAAAGGGTTAAGTCAGGAACTGGAGTTGAGAAAGGAGCTATTGAGTTGGGATCCTCTGATCAGAGTGCCCTGTCATTTACGGCTATCTAGCAGGTCACGTTTTGCTCCTCACGGGAAAACCATGAATGTTATTACTGACATCTATGCATGTCTCTGAGGTAACAATGTGGACGTGAGAGAGGGAAGTGAACTTTTGATCGATCAGAATATTTACACCATCTAACCCATGTGAACAGTAGCTGCTCTGTTGGCCTTTTTTGGTTTAACATTTCTCATTTGTTCGACAACCGAGAGAATAGGCAGTTAACACTCAAGGAGGGCCGGTGTGTGTCATGCACAGACGCGTTTTTCTTTCCTACACTGTGATGTAAGATCTAAGCCAGAGGATTTGATCTGTGTGTGATGTGGTCACGTTAAGCAGTCACTGCAGGTGGGACTAACTACCACGAGGGGCATTCGACTCCTGTTTCTTCTTAGAAAGCACCTACAGATTCAGATCTCTTAAAAAGTGTTCTATTTTCAAACGATTTGCAGGATCACGACTGTTTTAGAAGCGATTAATATCATACTATGCGATTGCCAAATATTTTTATTGATCAATATGTAGATTTTTGTAACCTACCTGCCCTGAACCTATAAGTAATCATATTGAAGGCAGGTAAAAATTACAATTAAGAGGTGATACATCTTTCAGTTCTAATAAGCTAAAACACATGGAAAAGACTAGCAAAAAATTGCCATCTGAAAAATAAACTTATACATGTTATTTTGTGTATTCTTCTGATGACCTGAATTTAAACTTTGCATGGAAACCATGTTCTCTTTCCTAAAGTGAATGAAGATAGACATTATATGAAAAGAAAAGAAGCAAATGCTTTCGAAGAACAACAATTAAAACAGAAGATGGATGAGCTCCATAAGAAGTTGCATCAGGTGGTGGAGACGTCCCAGGAGAACTTGCCTGTTTTCCAGGAAAGGTCTGAGGTATGTGTGTGCTTTTCTCTGAGTGCTTCCCATGCCTAGTGACACTGATTTCTGTTGATAACTTGCTCCTTCCTGGACCATGTTTTTATACTTAATTCTGATGTTAATGTAGCTACGAGCATTCCAAATTTTTACAATTGGACACAGAAAGGTATTCAAAATATAAAATGAGAAAAAGGAATTACAGATTGTGTATGTTTTTATGTGTGTATATGTCCCTATTTTTTATGTATTCATATATGTGGTCTTTCAAAAATTTTTGCACAGTAACTATTATATAATGAGAATTTGAATATAATTATTAATTCATCATCTAGATATATTTTGTTTGCCATTGTTTCATGTTGGAAGAGGGAGAGAGGTGATGAAATTGTTAGACTCGTGTATTAAAATTACTTAATGAATGAGGTAGATTGAGAATAAATTTAAGCTACATAATGGTGCTTAAATTTTCACATAGTATATGTCTAACTGTGATATAGGATACAGTGAAGATATAAGCACCTCAATTTCTTCTTTTTTTAGATTTTTTCCTTTTATTTAGGAGATTTATGGAAGTATAAGTGAAATACAGTAAATTACACATATCCAAAGTATAAAATTTGCTAAGGTCTGACATGCACATACACTCTTAAAACTATCTTCACAATCAAGATAGTCAACATACACATCACCCCAAAAGTTTTCTTGCTCCTTTGTTCTTAGAACGACATGCTGCATTTGTCTTGCTTCCTGATGTATGCTAGACATATATCCTTTTTCTTTCTCTTTCATTTTTTTTTTTAATTTGAATATAGTTGACCCACATTACATTAGTTTCAGGTGTGCAACATAATGATTCAGTTTCTCTGCATGTTATGCTGTGTTCACCACAAGCATAGCTACCGTCTGTCACCATAGCAGCCATAAGTTTGTTCTCTGTATTTATAGGTCTGAGTCTGCTTTTTTTTTTGTTTATCCATTTGTTTTGGTTTTTAAATTCCACATATGAGTGAAATTATATGGTATTTGTCTTTCTCAATCTGACTTATTTTACTTAGCACAGTACCCTCTTTGTCCATCTATGTTGTTGCAAATGACATGATCTGATCCTTTTTTATGCCTGCATAACATTCCAGTCTGTATGTTTGTATCGAAGTAGTGTTTTTGTTTTCTTTAGATAAATACCCAACAGTGGGATTACTGGACCATATAGTATTTCTATTTTTAATCTTTTTTTTTTTTTTAAGATGTTATTTATTTATTTGACAGAGACAGAGATCACAAGTAGTCAAAGAAGCAGGCAGGGAGAGAGGGGGAAGCAGGCTCCCTGCTGAGCAGAGAGCCCGACGTGGGGCTCGATCCCAGGACCCTGAGATCATGACCCGAGCTGAAGGCAGAGGCTTTAACCCACTGAGCCACCCAGGTGCCCTATTTTTAATCTTTTGAGGAACCTCCATACTATTTTCCCTGGTGGTTACACCAATTTGCATTCCCACCAACAGTGCATGAGGGTTTCCTTTTCTCCACATCCTTGCCGATACTTGCCATCTCCTCTCTTTTTGATACTAGCCATTCTGACAGGTATGAAGTGATATTTGATTGTAGTTTTGATTTGCGTGTCCCTGATGATGAGTGATGGTGAGCAGCTTCTCATGTGTCTGCTGGCCATCTGGATGTTTTCTCTGAAAAATGACTATGCTGATCTTTTATCCATTTTTTAATCCAATTGTTTGGTTTTTCTGGTGTTGAGTTATACAAGTTATACAAATTCTTTATTTATTTTGAATATTAACCCCTTATTGGATATATTATTTGCAAATTCCTTCTCCTAGTAGGTTGCCTTTTTGTTTTGTAATGGTTTCCTTTGCTGTGCAAAACTTTTTATTATGATATAGTCCCAATAGTTTATTTTTGCTTTTGTTTCCCTTGTCTCAGGAGACATATCTAGAAAAATGTTCCCAAGACCAATGTCAGAGAAACTACTGCCTATGTTTCATTCTAGGACTTTTACGGTTTTAAGTCCACATTTAGGTCTTTAATCCATTTTGAGTCTATTTTTGTATATGGTGTTAGAAAGTGGGCCAGTTTCATTCTTGTACACGTAACTATCTAGTAATACCTTAATTTCTTAAATTTTTTGAGAATCATAAAAATTCATGAACATTTGATTTTATAAAAGCAATGGAAAGATGTCTGTATATATGCATATGTGTATATGTATATATATATATATTATATGTATATAAATGCATGCCCTCTTTTACTGCTAACTGTTGTATTTTGTGTTTTTCCAGAATTTACTGTGCATGAACACATAAATATGTATACAATTGAAGTTTCTGTATAAATAAGACTTATTTTCTGCTTTTGCTGCCTAACCCATCTTGCAGATTTCTCCTAGTTATTACATAGAGGTCTAACTCACTTTAATAACAACACAGTCTTCTGTCATAACTTTTAGTTAGGGCCTGTATCATTTGGAAACTGTTACAAACCATGCTGCAGTCAGCATTCTTGTACATACGACATTATTTCTCTAGGAAAGATACAGAAAAGTAGAACTGCTGCTGAAGTTTGTGCACTTAAAATACTGCCCATCTGCCCTCCAAAAATTTACCATTTTATACTCATAGTAATGAATAAAAGTATGTGTTTCTTGTATACACTTGGCTAACATTAGCTATCCTAAATATTTTCAACCATCTGATGTGTTTTTCTAATCACAGGTGAATGTGGATTTTTAACAATACATTTAGTGGCTGTTTGTCTTTTTTTTTTTTTTTTAATTGACTTTGATGGACTTTGTTCATTTTTCTACTGGATTGTTACATATTTTTCTTTTTTTAAAAAAGATTTTATTTGTTTATTTATTTATTTGAGACAGAGAGAGAGAGCACAAGCAGGGAGGAGGACAGAGGGGGAGGGAGAAGCAGGCTCTGTACTGAGCAAGGAGCCCGATGTGGGACTCAGTCCCAGGACCCTGAGATCATGACCTGAGCCAAAGGCAGATGCTTCACCAACTGAGTGACCCAAGTAACACCCAAAGAGCTGTTTTTTTTTTTTTTTAAAGCTACATATGAAAGATTAATTCTTTGAGATGTCTTGCATGTCTAAAAGCATCTTTCTTCTACCCTCACACGTGGGTGATAAATTGGCTGGGCACAATGTTCTAGAGGGAAATCCTGTTCCCCCAGAATTTTTTTTGGTGTTCCTGATTATGGCTCCACTTTCACTTTCATTCTGAGTTATATCTAAATGTCTGAACTTTTCCACAGATTAACTTTCTCCACTGCTGTTTCAGGTGTCAGAATTTCTTTCCTGTCCTTTTGGCGAGGTTTTTGAGGGAGTAAATGATAAAGCACATGTTCAAGCCATTGTCTGTAACCAAAAGCCTCCCTGTATGGGACTTATTTTTGTGTTGTGATAGCACAAGGATGTATTTCACAAATGTGCTTCCAGTTGCCCCTAAATAATTTATTGAGCAACTCAGCCTTTCCCCATTGATGAAAAACTTTTTTATTGCATCCTAACATACAAGATCAGTTTCTTCTTGATCATTCCATATTGTATATATGCCATACCTTTGTCGTAAGTTTTGATATCTGGTATAGGAAGTCTGATTGTTCTTTTTCAAAATATTTCTTCAGAATTGATTATGAAGAAATCTTTTTAATCTTTTTAATCTTTTAGTTTGGTAGAGAGAAAAAATGGTATAGGTCATTTCTAATTACTTTTTTTGATGACTAGTGCAGATGAACTTTTTGTATTTTGTCCATTTGTTTGTGAAAGAATTATTCTTGCCCTAGATATTTGGTGTTCTTCTTAACAATTTGTGAGAATACTTTTTTATGCTGAAGAATTAACTCTTATATCCTTTAACTTTTTAACTTAAGAGTATATAGTTACAGTCTGAGTACATGTGAGACAAAGAACAAAAGTTTTAGAAGAGCTTGTTAACCTTCCCATTGTGAGCTGTGCTTTTATGGCAGCTTTTTTTTGGAATTTATATTCATATTTCCTATTCATTCGAGAGAAAATGGCTACCAGGTGTATTTTAATGGAAGGAAAACCATTTTGAGCATTTGATGACCTTGATTTGTTGGTCCTCTCTCAAAATTAAGAGAAATAAGATAGTTCTTAAATACTGGTAAAACTGTAGGGGTTGGTTATTTCAGTGGTAAGAAGTATGAGCTGCCAGTTCTCTATGGTTAAAAAGCTACAAAAGCATCCATCCGGAAAGTGGTCTTTGTTGTTGGTGGTTGTTTATTTCAGAATACCAGATGGGATGGGGATGCCTCAGGGGGAAAGGAAGCTACTGAAGAAGACATGTGCCATTCTTTGAAAAGCTGTGGTGCCTAAATAGTAATATTCTGGACTTAATTGGTTTTTTTGTTTGTTGTTTGTTTGTGGTGTTTTTGTTTGTTTGCTTAACCTGAAAGGTTAATCCAGCATGTATGGGACCAAGTGTAAGCTCCCAGCAGGACCTGAGAGCCCCGTCTCTTCCAGCCGTCAATCATCAGACCTCAAGGAACATGGAAGAGAAACCCAGAGAGACAACTCCTGTTGTTCCTCCTATGGCAAATGCTGTCACTGCCACTTTGGTGTCCCCGGCCATCAGTCAGAGTGTATCTCCTCCTGTTCCTTTGGCAGCCCAGCCAGGGACAGACTCCATGTTTGCAGTGACCAGAAAAGATGACAGGTAAGGTATAGGTAGTGTTAGAGAGGATAGTGACACGAAGGGCACTCATCAGCTTTTTACATGTTCTGCGGTGTCAAGAACGGTGTGTAAAAGATGAATGACTCCTCTTTTTAAAATAATTTTTAGATGGGCATGTTGTTGAAAAACCAAGTTACCAGAATAGCCCCAAATCTTTCACTTATTACTCTATTTTTCTTTTAGGGGATTTATTTCACTTCATACTTCTTCCTAGAATTAAAAAGTTTCAGTACAATGAAACACAACAATTTTTTTTGTAACTGGAAAATATACACATGTTGAACCAAAATTTCAGCCTTTCTTGCAGGCTTTGACTAAATATATGGAGTGATGGTTACCATCCAGATGGTTTCTTGACATGTTTTCTCATAATCCTGTCTTCACCAGCAGCAATCTGGGATCAATATCCATTCCACAATATGCCAAAGTCATATCTGTACGCTGCTGTGGAGGTTCCCCCGCCCAAGTTTGTGGGATTTTCCTAGATTTCAGAAATTCAAATTAATGTCACAATAACTTGCTTTGTTTAAATTTTTATCTTCAGTGACTTTGGCACGCTCTCTTTACATAGAGCAATTTTATTGTTCCTTTAGAAAAAATGAGAGCTCCGGTGTACCTGGCACCCTCCCCTTGGGCTAAACTCCTTAGCATAGATTATGACTCATGAGTACTGTTCTTCTCAGTATCCAAGACTAACTTATAGCAATGATTTCGCTTAGAAATAAGATTGAAAATGCTTTTTCACTCACATTAGGATAATAATTCAGACCCATGTCCTGTCATCCTGTGTGTATGTAAAAAAAGAACTCTTGCATCATTGGGGGCTATGACTTCATTAGTTCTTCATTGCTAATACAATTATAAAATAATAAAAACAAGAGAGCAGTGACAGGCCCAAAGAGATGTTGAGTGTCCAACCGTCCCCAGAGATGGGAGTCATGAGGGTAGAGGAGCCAGACACAGATATCCCTATAAAACTGTGAAACTCTTTAACCCAATGAATGTTCAGATCTTAGTCTGAAGCATCTCGGATGGACCTTGACCCTAGCTCAGTCAAGGGACCAAATGGACCCCCTTGGTACTCTGACTAGCTTACCATGGCAGAGAAAAGGTGACTTTGTCTGGAATCTCAAAGAAAAACTCATGTTTTCAAGACAGTTGGGTGGGGATTTGTAAAATTAAGTGTGCTGTACTTTTTACTTTGCCTCCTAACACAGTCCCTGCTGAGGGAATGCTAACAATGTTAAACTGATAGATGAGGTCCACTATCATTCCTGGACTTAAAAACAACAACAACAACAACAAAAACTGATATAAATGTCTTATATGCCATTTTTAAAGTTTCTTGATAACCCTTAAAATCTGAAGAACCATGCTCTGTGGCTCCTGGCTCATCAAACCAGGGGTAGCCCATGCACTTAAAACACCCCAGTGCTTCCCATAACATGACTCTGGCTAGCTGCTTTGGGCACCCAGGCCAGCGCTTGGGTGTGAGTGCTTGAGCCTATGTAATAAATGGGAATCATCTGAATCAGAGGCCATTATCCTGCCCTACCACATACAGGAATGATCATCATGATGTTAAAATACAGGCTCGCTGCGTCTAGCAAACATGTAGTACCTGGCCTTTACGGCTATGAATGAAAGAAAATAATAAAACATTTTATTTGCTTACACTATAGACCTAAACACTTCCATCTGTATTTTAAGAATAGGCTTGTAATTGCTGACTTTTACTCTTCTTTTTGGAGAGTCAGTGTGTCTCAAGAGAGTTCTCTTTCAGATATGTGACTAAAAGTACTCATGAATTCAAGCCACAGAGTGAAGCCGAGATAAAAGAAGGTAATGTTTAATTATAATAAATTTGTTTCTGACCTGTTTGCCCAGACTCCTGCAGGTCACTGAGAGATCTGTTTGGTTTCTGTGGCTCATGAAGACTTGGGTGAACTTGGGTGTTCGCTTTCCTATTCTTAGAATTTAGGGGTTAGATAAGCCCCAGACCGTCTCAAGAAAAGGTAGAAATGCACTTCCTAGTCACATCTTAGTACCTAGAATCCTTTGGAAACTAGACTTGTGAACCTTTTTTATTAAATTTCTCAGCAGCTTTACCAAAAACAAGAGTCATCTTTCACGTACTGTGAAGTAAGTATGAAAGGAGGTTACAAGTTTAATTAGGAGTCTTCTACTTCTCTTAGGTACTACTTTGTTAGAGCCATTTGCATGAAAGGTAAGTTCTATGAACAAAATAAGATACATGGATTGTGCCCTCACTCTCCCCCATGTGGCTTTGGCTTCCTCTTCAGTGACTGTTCAGTGGTCAGCCAAGCTGCTTGGAACAGCTGGCCGCCCCTGCCTTTGTCCAACACTTCCCACACACTTGCTGGATGCCAGGCACCGTTCTAGGCAGTGAGGAATGCAGTCAGGAGCAGAAAGCACAAAACCCCCACCCAAGCAGAGTGGGGAAGGAAAGTGTCATGGGGGAGGGGATTGAAGTTTCAGAGGTGACCAGGAAAGCTGCTCCCAAGGAAAGTGATATTTTGGATAAAGTCTCGAAGGTGGGAGCTGCCCATGCAGCTAGCTTGGCCCACCTGTTTCAGGAGAAGGTACGAACGAGTGCAGGCCCCTGAGGTGGGACTCGTCTGTAAGGCGTCTAAGCACAGCTAAGAGGCCCAGGCAGCTGGAGTGAATCAAAGAAGGAGGAAGATGAGGTCTGAGTGGACAGGGCCTGGGTTTTGTGGGGACTTGTTTGACTTTTTCTGGACTCCAGCTGAATAACATGGAAAGCCAGTCTTAAGATTCACGGTGTGACTATTATTAACATGTATTTCTGAGGATATAGTGGAGTGAAGGGTGCTATTTATGACAACCCGCTAATTTGATAATGATCTTAGACCAAGCCACTTAATCTCTTTGAACTTTGATTTCCTTTTCCGTAAGAGGATTCTACCTTACCTACCTCGTGGGGCTGTTGTTATAAAAATAAAAATGAAAGCGATGTAACCGCAGTAATAACAGAAGTCCTTATTATTATCAGTAATAATAAAACATTTTCATTGTAATTAAATCTCTTAATTTGTGTGCCTTTTTAATTTCTGATTCCTCTACTAGTAATTTTTTTTTCCCCATAGGATCTGAAACACATAAGGTCGTTAACACAGGCTCTTTTCACACAACTCCAAACACGTCGCTTAGAATGGTTCAGGCGACCCCATCCAGGGTGCAGCCGTCACCCACCGTGCACACAAAGGAAGCATTAGGTAAAGCCTTTGGTTTGAATGTGTAGCATCTTGCAACAAATTAATGAAAGCGCTTTTGCAATCATGTTTACAGTGACTCTCTTTATTCTTCTAAGGTTTCATCATGAATATGTTTCAGGCTCCTACACTTCCTGATATTTCTGATGACAAAGATGAATGGCCATCTCTAGACCAAAATGAAGATGCTTTTGAGGCCCAGTTTCAAAGTAATTATTTATTTATTTATTTATTCGTTCATTCAAAGTAATAATTTATTTAAACGCTACCAAGTGCAGGCATTGCAGATGGTTGCCACAGGCAATATCAAGGATTATACAGAAGTTGTCCTTCCCTTGGTTAACTTGTCACAGAAGGGTAGTGAAATAAAAAATATGACCGTGTTTGAAAAGGTACTCAGTATGTCATAGATTTGTTTTTTAAAAATAAGTGCTAAGGGCCGGGCTCAGCCATTAAGCATCCCCCTTTGGCTCAGGTCATAATCCCAGGGTCCTGGGGTCGATGCCCACATCGGGCTCCCTGCTCAGCTGGAAGCCTGCCTCCCCCTCTCCCACTCCCTCCCCTTGTGTTCCCTCTCTTGTTGTCTCTCTCTCTCTCTCTGTCAAATCTTTAAAAAAAAAAAAAAAAAGAGTAATAAGTGCTACAGAAGGACAAAATCCTGATGCATAAGGGATGGCCAGGAAAACCTGAACACTTGAGGCATGATTTGTGCTTTGCCCAGTAGAGGAATGGCATGGGTGGAACCCACATTTGTTCAGAGTCTCCGGTTTTATGCTGGAAGCCAGAGAGATCATGATAAAGATAAATAGGATCATTAGACTCGGGAGGCCTTGGAATATAAAGTTAACAGGTTAATTTTTTCTTACAGGAAATGGGAAATAAGGCCAAAAGAGAGCTTTTTTCAGTGAGTCAGGTGACAAGAGCAGTGTTTTAGGAGAATGATGAACACTGGGCTTCGTGTGTGGCAGGAACTCAAGACCTAGAGGCTTCAGAGTTAAACCCTGTGACCGTGGTTAGGTCACTTCAACTCACTACAAAGGGACTTATTACCTAGTACTGAAAAATGTATCAGTTCTTTTCTATAAGCTATTATTTCATTTTCTTATTTGTAGGGGAAGTTTAGCATCAAGTATAGTGTTTTTTTTTCCTGATAGAACAATAAAATTCTACTTTTCACTCCAATGCAGAAAATGCAAGGTCTTCTGGGGCTTGGGGAGTCAATAAGATCATCTCTTCTTTGACATCTACTTTTCCTGTGTTTGAAGATGGAAACAAAGAAAATTATGGGTAAAGAATCATTGAGTTATTGCTTTACCCCATGTCTTCCTGAAGAGATAACCAGCCAGTGTTTTCTCCGGTGTTAGAAGAGATATGGCGGGTTGGCAGGCCATGCTGCAGAGCTTCCTCTGGGACTCAAGGTAGTGAGAAAATGTGGCCTGCTGACCGAATGGTCTGGGTCCCAGGGCCAGCTCTGCCACGGGCGAGCCTTTTAACCGTGTGATGGGAAGGCTGTTGCTTAAGTCCTCCTCCAGATCTACATTATCACACAGGAGTTACAGGAAAGCAGACCTCCCACACAGCAAAAGCCTGTGTTGCCAGGAAAACAGTGTGGTTACAAAGGATGAGAGAACTGAGGGATTCCATGGATTTGAAATCATATTGGGGTGAATGGATTTACCAGTACAGGTATCCGTACCTGCTGTTTATATTTGTGGGACTGATACAGAAAAAGGAAGTGACTTATATTGGGTCATGCTGCAGAGAGATGTTTTAAGCTGAAAGACATTACCTTAGGGAGCCAGATGTGGGAGTAGTGTAGGTAGCCCCAGGAATTTTCAGCTTGCAGTTTAAACCGTGGAAAGAAAGATGTCAGTACAAACTAAGAGTATCATGGCATAGAAGAGATTCATATTGAAGCAGAAAGGAAACAGTCTGACCAGCTCTCAGAGGGAAATTCCATAGCTAAACCTACTCCTAGAGATCAGAAATAAAATGTATGGCATCCATGATACGCTATCGGCCATGGCCCTACCTCTTTTCTTATTCCTAAAATTTATAACTCTGTGTAGTAGAGATTTTGTATTTTTCCACCCTCCGTTAAGTTGCTGTAAATCTGTGTTTATATACATAGTCAAGTTAATTCTGTTTGCACTCAGTTTTCCTAAAACTACTGTAAAAGTAAGGAATGTGTATATAAGTATTAACTAATTAGTATTGGAGTGGAGAATGTTTCTAATAGTCTCATTGAAATGATAGTATTTCCTTTAGTGTATTTTATAATATATGATTTTATATATCTTTCCTTAGATTACCACAGCCTAAAAATAAACCTGCAGGAGCCAGGACGTTTGGAGAACGCTCTGTAAGCAGATTTCCTTCAAAACCCAATGTAGGTAAATCACTGCTTCATCCATGAAATGGGTCTTACAACTCTCTCCTCTTCATTTAACCAAGTGGTATGCCAATCAAATGAGATAGTATATGTAAAAATTGTGCTGAAAAATACAATGTTATATGAAGAGTGGGTTTGGGGGAACATTATTCTATAATTATTCGAGTATCTATTATGTATCACACACTGTGATAGATGTAGAAACTGAAAAGTGATAGGATCCTGGCCTTCAAAGAACCTTTCTTTGTGGCAGGAGGAACGAGTGGGGGATATATTTTCCTCAACTCAAGAAGCAAGGCCTACAATGGAATATTAGAAAACCCACCAAGTCTGAATTACACTGGACTGGTCCATCATCAGCATAACTCAGCAGACGAGTGTCGGCAGTTGGCCGGCCCACAGCATTCTTCTGTCATGGTAGCCATTGTGTCCAGCCCCTGGGCAGCTTCCCCTCTAGCCCTGAGTATTACCGTGTGGTGTGCTTTCTCTCCACTCACCCCGGCTTGGTCCTCTGACTGGGATGGGTCAGAGATTAGTGCTGAAGAGCTGTGCTAATAAACCCTGGCTCATAATTTAAGTTCCACAGTGGATTCTTCTGAATAAATTATCACACAGCTCACTAATCCTTCAGATGAACTTTTTGACATTCTCAATAGCTTCCAAATAATGGACTGGATTTCAGATACAGTGCATCAATTAATAGATGCATTTCACTGAACTATTCAACCAATACGTTTTGACCGAAAAAGCCATGGTGATTTTTTTGTCTCCTGTCCCTATGTACAAGCCGATTGCTTTATCCTGTGTCCACATGAAGAAACAAATAGCCAGTTTTTCTTCCAGAGTTGGAAGAGATAGGGTGGCTAGGTAAAAACTTTGCACTATATATAAAAACCATGGGTGGCATTTTATTGGCAACTGAAGAGTTTTGCCAAGCATAATTCTGACTTCGCAGTTTCTGTCTTTGTGTATAGACTCTAAAACTTGACCATTGAGTTTCTGGAGAAATAGCTTATTCTGGGGTTAAAAAAGGAAAATACAAGATGAGCCTAGAGCATCCTGTGGTGTCAGAAAGTAAGGAAGTGTTTAAAAAAAAAAAAAAAAGATGGCATAACAAATTTAGGAAGCAGCCCTGAGTAAGTCCCTGGCCAAACCTGGTATAATTCGAACAAGAAAATAAGTAGAATAAGGTAGTATTGGATTATAACCCAAGAAATAAAATAAATATCCTTATTGATATAGACAAATGGGACAGAGGACAAAATAAACCTTCCTTACAGAAGAACGTAATTTATTACCTTGCAGGTAATAAATGTGGAAGGAATGAGTGATAATAGAAAATTGCCATTAGAACACCACAGTAATCATTATTCTAGGCAAACTCCACAGGGAATACTAAAATTAGTAAGTGAAACTTTAGGAAGAAAGAGAATATTTGTATGACCTTGTAGTTTCTCACCCAGATTATTACTGTAGTTGTTTTAACATCTGTCCACAAATTCTTTGATAGCCCTCTCTCAGGAGATGGATCTCAGTTTACCTCCTTTCAAGTACAGGCTATATTTTCCCCTGATTCTGACAAATAAGGGTCGAGAATGAGAAAAATAGGTCCTTCCAGAGGAGAAACCTGGCAGATACCACCTTCACCAGGTGCTTGGTTAACCTCATCAGTTATAAGTTGTGTTCATATCATGTCTCCCCTAATGTGATCTAATAAAGGGAGCTATATCCCTGATATTCTTCCCCGAAATCTATAACCCCAGTCTAAACATGAGAAAAGGCCAAAATTTAACCCTAAATGGGAGAGAGTTTCCACACAGCTCCTGACCAGTATTCAAAAATGTCTGTGTGCGAAAGACTGGGACAGACCAATCAGCTGGCACAGGTCTGAGGACACCCAATGAGACGTGATGACTAAACAACATGGCATCTGGGACTGGAGCCTGAAACAGGGAAGGGACCTGAGTGGGAAAAGGATGAAATCCAAGCAGCGTCCAGAGTTGGTAGGATTGTTTAGTAGTTACAAAGGCACCAGGATTCCGTAAGGTGTTACCGTCAGAAGGAGTTTGACAAAGTGTGTGTGGGTACTCTGCACGGTCTTCATGACTCTGTAAATCTAGAATTTTCAAATTAAAAAGAGTAAAACTTGAAAAATAAAATGTGACTCTTGAATACAGTGTGACTGCACTAGATTGTGTTAAAGATGAAGTGTCCCACTTCTGGGGAGATGAACAGAACCCTGATGTCCTTGACTTTGTGTTAGCCAGAGGTGACATCTGTTTCCTCTTTAATTCCTCATTTTTTTTTCATCTTAAGCAGTATCAATGAGTTAAATGACAAAACGGGGAGATTGTTGCTTTTTTTCCAGTTCATCTTTTGTTGTAGGAAGTACCTCACGCCGAAGAGTTTTTGGATGACTCAACCGTCTGGGGTGTCCGCTGCAACAGAACCCTGGCGCCCAGTCCAAAGAGCCCAGGACACTTCACGGCTGCCGCACAGCTCGCATCCACACCTTTCCACAAACCACCCGCGGATGCTGGGCCTGCTCTGGAGGATAAAGGTGTGTGACATGCCGCTGGAGCGTCTTGTCTTCTGCCAACTTCAGTTCTTTCAGGATTACGGCTTTCTTCTTGGAAATTCTAAATGGAAGTTTAAAGATCATCCAGAGGAAACTTAAAATCCACTCACTCTGTTATTTCCTGTATGATCTTTTTCTTTTGACATCCTGTTTTCTGAAAGCCTGCGCATTTTAGAAACTTAGTAACTGAGATTATCGGTAGAACAGTAGAAAAACCTACAGAAGCCTTCAGAGGCAGATATGCCAAGTCCAACCCATCTGTACAGGAGATAGGTGGATGTTACGTTTACTACAAACAAAATGGCCATGACAGACAAGTTAAGTTACCTGAATGCAAAAAGTAACGAACATTTGTATTTTAAGAGTAGCAAATAGCAAATTTTAGTCCTTGGTATGTGTCTACAGATTCTATTATTTTGGAGTTGTACTACACTCAGGAAAATCATATTTTGTTATTTTTTTTTTTTTTAGTGACTGACTTCAAGAGAGTAATGATAAAATGCACGGATAGTTCTTATTTCCCCTAAATCTAACACTCGCATATCAAAGATCTTTATCTGAATTAAATCTTAATAGATAACACTGTCATTGAGCACAGATAATTATTACCTATTAAGTACCAACCTACAGGGGCGTCTGGGTGGCTTAGTGGGTTAAAGCCTCTGCCTTCGGCCCGGGTCGTGTTCCCAGGGTCCTGGAATCGAGCCCCACATCGGGCTGTCTGCTCAGCAGGGAGCCTGTTTCCTCCTCTCTCTCTCTGCCTGACTCTCCGTCTACTTGTGATATCTCTCTCTGTCAAATGAATGAATAAAATCTTTAAAAAAAAAAAAAAAAAGTACCAACCTACAAACTGTATCGACAATAAAAGACCACTTTACCATTCTGATGAGGTTTTTACTAGCCAAATTCCATCACTGCTCACACTTTTATTAAAAACAGTAATTGTCCCTCAAAGCAATTCAATGAAAGAATTGTCAAAGAATTTCACTCCCCTACACAGAAGCATATTTTAATGTGAAGTCTGAGCCTATAGACCTAAAAATTTTTAACTGAGGAGTAAAAAAAATTTTTTAAATAACTAACCCGGTATATTAACTTTCTTTTCTGTATTTTAAAGGAGAGTTCGGTTGAAATTTGGACAATTGCCAGGTGCCATCACAAGCTTGCTACTTTAACCAAAAAAATGTTAAAGTATTTTCCATTTGGGAAAACGAGTTTAATCAGTCGAGTCTTTCAGAGTCAATATTGGCTGTTCTTGGAGTATTTGCACTTTGGTTGGATAAATAGGAGCTAATGTTCTAGTTCTAAAAAGTTTTAGCACCTGTTTGGTGATGCAATATCTGAAAAACTTTAGTCCAGTGTAATACTTGGCTTTGCCATATATATATATATATATATATATATATATATATATATATATCAATCATATATAAATAGTCCACATTTCTTTTTTTCTAAGATTTTATTTATTTGACAGAGAAGTAGAGAGTACAAGTTGGCAGAGCAGCAGGCAGAGGAAGAGGGAAAAGCAGGCTCCCTGCTGAGCAAGGAGCCTGATGTGGGGCTCGATCCCAGGACTCTGAGATCATAACCTGAGCCGCCAAAGGCAGATGCTTAACTGATAGACCCAGATGCCCCACACTCCACATTTCTTACTAGTTTGTCTTTCCGTAGATAGTTTTCATTTGTTTATTTGTTTTTAGTTAAAGAGAGTGGTGGTTACTATTGTCAGGTATCTTCCTGATGTAAACACTCTAAACCACTTTAATCAACTAAACACTGACTAAATAAAGCAGTCAGACAGAAAGACACCCACATCTCTGCCCTCTGGATGCGTTTCAGTGTTTCACTCTCCACGTCCTTGTCCTCAGGTTCTTCTAAAGCAGGGTCCGTCCTCCACCCCTACCTGCAACCTCCACGGAGGGCTCATCCTGCCCACAGCAGACCTGCCACCCTTTGGACCCTTTTCTCTTGAAGGATTGAATGTGCAAAGTTGAAATGCTCACAAATAATTAGTAGTAAAAAAATTTTTAGTAATTTTTTTTCCCACTTTAAAAATATTATGGAACAATTTATCATGGAACACCATTCTGAAATTATAATGAAAGCCAATGTAAGAGAAATTCTGGACTTTATAGCCATATGAAATCATTTGCGTGCATAATGTCTGTCTCTTATTTTCTACATATTTCAGAAAATGTGGTTGCAAAAGAGTACATCCATGTGACTCTGGATTCTCGTGAAGAAAACATGGGAGAACCCTCAAAAGACAGAAAGTTCAGGTATGTGAGGGCGGGTGTGGTTCTGTCACTCCACTGTCACTCTGGCTTTGCTTTGAGGATATAACAGAATACCTAATTCCAACCCTTCAAGGCAAATGAGATTTCACTGACTTGCAGGTATAAGCCAGAAGCTACTCTATAGCTACACAAACAGTGATAAACCTAAACCCTGGGTACATCGGGGCAGTGAGAGAAGCAGCTGGGGCAGCAGAGAGTCTCGGTGGGAGTAGCTCCTGTGACTGACTTCTACTCATTTTGAGAACAGAACTGCACTTAACTTTTATCAGCCAAAGACCCTGACCTAGTGTAAAGTCTACTGTAGAACTGAGCAAACACATACTTGTTTCTTTATACCCATTCTAATTGAGAAAAGCAATCACTTTTTTTCAAGAGGAAGACGATAGAATGTTTAAGCCTCTTAGGTATTGATACAAAATGTGGGTGCAGCATAGATGAGGGCTTTGTAGAAGTAAAATTCCTTCGTATTTGAATAGTTTTGTTACCGTAACAGACACTGAAAGTGGCTGTAATCATTTGACTATTTGTTATATTCTATTGTAATGCTGGTACTTTTTATGTACTGTATCCTATAATTAATCCTTACAGTAAATTTAATTGTAGGAACTATTCTTTCCCACCATTACAGACAAGGAAACCAGGTCTAGAGAATTAAGAAATGACTTAAACTGTGAAGTGTGTAAACCTGGTGATTCACAGACCTGTACCCCTGGGGATAAAAATATATGTTTATAAAAAATAAAATTTTTTAAAAAATGTAAAAAAACCCAAAAAAAATTTCAAGTACTGAACTGTGAAAAAAAAAAAAAAAAAGAAAGAAATGACTTAAAGTCATACAACTTCTAATTTGCAGCACTGTAATTTCAACCTATATTTCTAATTTCGGAAGCCTTGCTCTCACAACTATGTTGTACTGCCTCTTGTTATTAAAGACCTCTTCTTAAACTAAGACCCCCATTGGATGAAAGACATGAGCAGAATTTACAAAAAAAAAAAAAAAAATTGAATAAGCATGTAGAAAATACTTAACTTCCTAATAATACAGTTAATGCAGATGAGCAGAAATTGCCTTTTAATTTAAAATTCTGCCCGATAGGCAGTCTGTCACCTCCCACGAGGAATCTTCTACATGTGACTAAACTTTTGACTCACAAGAGTCATAAGCCATAAGCCACACTTGGCAGAAGATTAACATAGAAATATATAGGACAAAAATCAGTTGTCAGGGAAATAACTATCCAAGACACTATCATCTTTGACCAGCATGAGACAATTAAGTTACAAGGAAACCCTTAGGACCAAGGTACAGAAGTTTCCCTAGTTAGAAACCTTAGTTCTGTGGGCGTCAGTGGCTCTCGCAAACTACAGATTTAGATTCCCGTGTCCCCACAAAGAATAGGCCCATTACTAAGGTCTTCATACCTGAAGACTGAGCCTGTGGATTCCCAGCATGTATTTCTAATCCTCTCAGTCTAGCACACAGTTCCAGTCATGGTTATTGTTCACCATAAGCCGTGGTGACAATGATACTCTGAGCTTTCCAGTTTTCAGGGGAGAAGAGCTAGAAAGTTAACCAAAACTCAAATTCTCATAGAGAAGGGAGAAGGGTTTTATTGATAACTTATACACTCACAGTAATTTCGATACTCAGCTAGGAACAATTTATATATGTTTCAAAACAATTTTTTCTGTGTGCATGAATACCCCTAATATCTGATTTGTTGTAATATCAAGCATTAAAAATACTCCCATTTGACTACCACATTTTCTCCCAATAATAGATTTTGATGGCTATGCTTGTGGGATAGATTAAAATTGCCATGATCTGAAGAGGGAGGACTTAATCGTGTCCTCCCCCTATATGAAATGGCTGAACAGAAAATTGATTAATTAAAATATTGAAAGTATTTTTAATATGAAAGAACCAGGGAATTATTCTATTCCAGCATACATCCACTGAATTAAATGACAGGTAGTGACTAAAATCCGTGATAGGACTATGGAGAAACCTAGCAGATGCCACATTTACCAAATGATCAAGGTTAATTTCACAGTGACAGTTCATGATAGTCATGCATTGAGGAGGGTACTTGACCTCTGAAACATTCTTCACAGTCTAATCATGAGGGAAACATCAAAGGAACCCAAATTAAGGGACACTCTACAAAATACCTGGCTGGTACTCCTCAAAACTGACAAGGTCTTGGGAAAGTAGGGAACACTTAGAATCCGTCACCAATAAGAAGGAAGTAAAGAGACGTAAGTAACTGTTGAATACAACATGGTATCCACGATTAGATCCGGGAGCAAATAAAGGGCCCTGTAGGAAAACTGGTGAAATCCAACTGAAGTTTCAAGGTTAGTTAAGAGTACTACGACAAATGTTGGTTTACTGGTTTTGACAGAGGAACTGCTGTCACGTGAGCTGATAACATTTGAGGAAATTGGGTGAGGAGTATATGGGAATTTTCTATGATCTTTGCAACATTTCTTTAAGTCTGAAATTATTCCAAACCTACTTTGTTTTCAAAAAAATTCCTTCCGGAAAAAATGCTTGTCAAGTAGTAAGAGTGCAACAGGAAGTTGCATGTACATGTGTGTTTTTACAGTGGTGCATACTTATATATGTGTTGGTGTATGTGTGGGCATAGAGGTGGAGGAGAGTTGATGTGTGTAGAGATACGTACATAGTCGAGTCTTACTGTTTGCACTCATTCTTTTGTATAAAGTCAATGCAAACTCTGAATTACCCAACACTGAACCATCGTTCCTAGTTTGGTTCCCGTGAGCCTCTGTTCACAACTTTTTGTTTAGAGACCTTAATTTAATAAATTATGGTTGATTCATTAGTATTGAACTCAGGGCCAACAGCACTGTAACTCATACCTGAATGCCGCTTATCTAATACTTATTTTCTCTGTAAGACACATCGCGGCCTGGGGCGCCTGGGTGGCTCAGTGGGTTAAAGCCTCTGCCTTCAGCTCGGGTCATGGTCTCCGGGTCCTGGGATCGAGCCCCGCATTGGGCTCTCTGCTCCGCAGGGAGCCTGCTTCCTCCCCTCTCTCTCTGCCTGCCTCTATGCCTACTTGTGATCTCTCTCTCTCTCTCTCTCTGTCAGAATAAATAAAATCTTAAAAAAAAAAAAAAAAAAAAGACACATCGCGGCCTTCTCAACCTTAGGAACACTAGACATTTTAGCACTGCACTTAGAGGGACGTCTTAAACGGTAAAATCACAAAAACACAGAAAAATATATTACTAAACATACTGCGAAAGGACACTGGTTTACAGTGTGCAAGCTGACACGAGAACGCAGAGCATTGCCTTATTCCATCTCCGGGAGTGTATGTTGGGTGACGCATTCTCACCATCCTGCATGTCTGCAGAAGGGCCATGAAAATTGATTTAGGGATCATGAATGAGTTTTAGCACATAGGCAAATTCACAAATATAGGATCCCTGAGTAATACAGATCAACTATGTATGTGTGTATAGAGAAAGAAACTGTTAGGTTGCTGGATTATGACATTTTCTATCTGTTTCAGTGCTATACAAGAAGCTGTTTTGGAATAGAGTTCAATATTCAGTCTTGATTCCCAGCTTGATGACATCTTGGGGAAATAAACCCACCCATCTCCATGTTTCCCATCAAAGGATATCCATTGTGTTAGCTTGCCTGTTTAATGACTGTGTTACCATGTCTTTGATTTTATCTCTGTTCATACTGTATTGGCTAGGTATTTGCATGTATTTGTTTGTCTGAAGAAAATGCTTTGATCAACTCTTTGTAAGGCAGTTTTGAAATGTCATTTATAGAATGAAAAGGAAACTTTTGTGGGACTTTTTCATGTGATCACATCCAATAGACTTGTAATCATGGGTTTTGTCTCCTCTTGTCTATCCCTTTAACACATCCAGCTCAATTCAAGAGAAAAGCCCAGAACCAGCATTCCCTGCAGACATATCTTCAGCATCCTTGCTCCGTGGGAGCCAGCCTGCAGCAGGTGGTGTGCTGGCCAGTGAGGTGGCACAGAGCCTCGAGGCTTGTAAACTCACAGACACTAACCTCATCGTCGCAGAAGACCCACCCGGCGCCAGTGCCAGGCACCAAGCAGAATGGACGCAGACTAGTTCACTTGAGAATGTCAATGCTTCAAGTACGAACAGATGTTCAGTCTTAATTGTGTCCCCGAATCAGGACAATAGCCTGGTAGAAGCTGTTTTGTGGAAGAAGCTCAAAGAGCAGGGACTTGAATGTCATTGAGTAGAATACAAGTTCAGACAAAACTTGCAAACTAGATCACAGTGTGGCACAACATAGAGCAGTGGAAGGGCAAATTAATTTGTTTTAATTTGAGAAAGTATCAGAATCACTACCATTAGAGGAGGGAGTTAGAACTGGAGGGCCTCCTATGGCAGGCATTGAATTTAAGACAGGTACCCCCATTTTCCAGCCAAGTAAGCAGCTCAGGGCTTAACTCCTTTCCCCTAGTTACACGGGAACAGTCTTAGGTAGTCTTGCATCATGGTTTAGAATACAGACTCTGAAGACTGACGAGGTTCTAATCCTAGCTCCACTTTAGGCAGTCATGCGATTGTGGCCAAAATCATTTCAGTTCTCTGTGGCTCTCGTTCCTTTTCTATGGGGGGGGGGTGATCGTCCTACTTCAGAGTCTTCTTATAAGGACCGAGTAGATTATTAAACATAAACTACTCAGAACAGGGTCCTACATACATTTAACACTACGTAAATGTTAATCATGCTGGATTAGTCTTTGATAACTACCACTAAAATAATTTTTATAGCATGCTAAACTGAGCAGAAACTTTATTCTTTTTTAGAAATGATTTCTTTTTTGTGAACCCAAAGTACCTCTCATGCATGCAAATTCCTCATAGATAATATAAGTATTGAAAGTCCTTGTATTTTGTAGATACAAGTGGGAGATGTTAGAACTGATATCCAGGTCAGCCTTTAAGACATAATTATGTTAAAGGCAGAATCTAGCAGTTCCAGGCAAGTGGAACAGATGCTTTTGGGGTTCATTTCCTTTGTCACAGCTAAATATTGATCTAAATTTGTTGATCTAAAATAACAATGAACTGTGTATAACTAGCCATTTTGATTTTTGTAAATGGTTATTATTTGAATCAATGCTCTTTTAAAGATAAGGCTTTTAAATCTTATTTAGTGAATGTCTCTACTTGTTTTATCTGTAGCTTCTTTGGGAAAATTCTTGGGTACTGTGTTCATTTTCTTTTTTATGTTCCCATTTCTTTTAAGACTTGACTGTTGAGAATCCATGGGATGATACGTTGATTCTCAAACTTTTATCTGGGCTTTCTAAGCCGGTGAGATCCTATCCAAATACTTATGAATGGCAGTGTAAACTTCCAGCCATCAAGCCCAAGACTGAGTTTCAACTGGGTAAGGACTATATGGGTAAAAAATTTTTAACTCTTGCTTCTATATAGGAAGTCAACAGTAATTTATGCATATGTGATGCTTCTTCTGGTACCACCCATGTACCCCACCTCCCTCAAATAAAGAGTTATAGATTATCTTTAGTACTAAGCTGAAAACATTTTGTTAAGCCATGACTGTCGGATTTTGATTCCTGTTGGCACTATTACTTATAAAGGACAAGTTGGTAATATCTATCAAAGTAAAAAATGCATAGTTTTAGACATCCGTTTTTAAGAATTTCCTGCAGATATGCTTGCATACATTCAAAATGACATATGTGCATGTAAAAACAGTAGATTGGAAACAACATAGGTGTCTTTGGGGGACTGCTTAAATAAATAAAGGGATACCTCTACAGTAAAATATAACTTGCTCTGTACTGATAAGGAATGATGTCCAAAACATGTTGTTATGGGCACACTAGTATTATATGCTGCCTTATATTTCTTAAAAGGGGGAAGATAACATATGCTCATATTCAATGCTATTTCTAGAGAACCCTTGAAGCATACTCAAAACTGAGAAAAATGGTTAACGGGGTGGATGTGAATAACAATGGAAGCAAGACTTCTTGTGAGATAATTTACACACACATGCACGTGCGCGCGCACACACAGAGCTTCTCCTATTGACAGCTTGCATTAGTGTGGTACATTTGTTATAGTTGATGAACTAACATTAATACATTATTATTAACTAAAGTCCACAGTTTACATTCAGGTTCATTCTTTGTGTTATATTGTCTGTGGGATTTGACACATCTATAATGCTGCACCCATCATTACAGAATCATAAAGAGTAGTTTCCCTGCCCCCCAAATCCCCTGTGTTCCATCTACTCATCAGGCCTGCCCTCTACCTAAAACGCTGACAAGCACTAATCCTTTTACTCCTGTCTCCGTAGTTTTGCCTTTTCCAGAATGTCAGGTAGTTGTAATGACACAATATGTAAGCTTTTCACATTGGCTTCTTTCACTCAGCAATACACATTTAAGATTCCTCCAGGTCTTTTCATGACTTGAAAGCTCTATCTTTACCATCGCTAGGAAATATTCCATTGTGCACATGTACCACAGTTCATCTATTCACCTATTGAAGGACATCTTGGTTGCTTCCAAGTTTTGTAAGACTCCTATGCAGTTTTTGTGTGGACAGAAGTTTTCAAGTCATTTGGATAAATATCAAGGATATTGTGATTGCTGAAACAGGGGAGCATATGTTTACTTCTGTAAGAAACCACCAAACTGCCTCCAGGTGGGGTTCATACCATTTTGTATTTCCACCAGCAATGAAGGCGAGCTCTGTTACTCCATATCCTCACCATCATCTGGTGTTGTCAGCAATTTGGGTTTTGGCCGCTGTAATAGATGTGTAATGGTATTTCATTATTGTTTTTCATTTGCAATTCCCTAATTACATATAATGATGTACATTTTTTTCATCTTTATTTGCCATCTGTGTATCTTTTTTGGTGAAATATATATTCAGATCTCTTGCCCATTTTTTAAAAATCAGGTTGATTGATTTCTTAATTCTGAATTTTTTCCCCCTGTTTTCCTAATTGAATTTCAAGAGTTTGTTGTGTATTTTGGATAACTTTTATCCGGTAAATGTTTTGAAAAGATAGTAACTCAGTCTTTGGCTTGTCTTTTCATTCAATTAACTGTGTCTTTTGCAGAACAGAAGTTTTTAAATTTTGAGCAATTTATTTCTTCCATGGACCATGTTTTGGTGTTGTGTGTAAGACATCATCTGCAAACCTAATGTCCCCTAGCTATTCTGTTACCTTTTAGAGATTTTATAGTTTCATGTTTTACATTCATGATCCATTTCAAGTTAACCTTTCCTGAAAGGTGTAAGTTCTGTGTCTAGATCCATTTTTGCATGTTGATGTCCACCTGTTCCATCAGCATTTATTGAAAAGGCTATCCTTTCGTAACTGAATTGTCTTTGCTCCTTTGTCAATGATCAGTTGACTGTATTTGCTTGGCTCTGTTTCTGGGCTTTTCTGTCCCATTGATCTATTTACCTATATCACACTGTACTGTTTACAGTAGCTTTGATAGTAAGTCTTGATATTGGGTGTCAGTCTTCCAACGTGTGCCTTTTACCTTTCCACATTACCTTTAAAATCAGTTTGTCAATAACCACAAGATAACTTGCAGGGATTTTGTTTAGAATTCCATTGAATCTATAGACCAAGTTGGGAAAACATGACATCTTGACAATATTGTGCCTTCCTCTCCATATACATGGAATATCTGTATTTAGATCTTCTTGGATTTTTTAAAATCAAAGTTTTATAGTTTTCCTTTTATAGTTCTTATGTGTATTTTATTAGATTTATACCCAAGTTATTTCATTTTGGAGGATGCTAACATAAGTGGTATTGTGTTTTTTAAATTTCAAATTGCACTTACTAATTTCTGGTACATGGGAAAGCATTTGACTTATATATTGACCTTGTATCCTGCAACCTTGCTATAATCATGTATTAATTTAGGAGGGTTTTGTTGTTGATTCTTTGGCATTTTCTGGCTAGACCATGCTGTCTTCTGTGTACAAGGACTGTTTCCCCGGCCCCCCATTAAGTATAATGTTAGCTATAAGTTTTTTGTAGATATTCTTTATCAAGTTGAGAAAGTTTTCCTCTATTCCTAGTTTGCAGAAAGTTATCATGAATGGGTGTTGGATTTTATCAAACATTTTTTCTGTTTTATAGGATAAGATCATATGATTTTTCTTTTTAGTCTGTTCATGTGACAGATTCATTGATTTTTGAATGTTGAACCAGGCTTGCATACCTGGATTAAATCCCAGTTGGTCATGGTAAATAATTTTTGTTTTGGATTTTATTTGCTAATATTTTGTTGAGGATTTTTAGATCTATGTTAATAAGAGATACTGCTCTGTAGTTTTCTTGTAGTATTATCCGTCTGGTTTTTGGTATTAGGGTAATGCTGGCCTCATAGAAGGGGTTGGGAAGTATTCATTCTGCTTCTATCCTCTGAAAGAGATTGTGGAGAATTGGTATAATTTCTTCCTTGAATATTTGGTAGAATTCACCAGTGGACCCATCTGGTTGTGGTGCTTTCTGTTTAGGAAACAGAAATGATTTGATTTCTTGTCTCATATTCCTATGTGAATTTTGGTAGAGGATGTCTTTCAAGGAATTGGTCTGTTTCATGTAGGTAATCAAATTTGTGGGCACAGAGTTGTTCATAGTATTCCCTTATTATATTTTTAATTCATGGGATCTATAGTAATGTCCTCTCTTTCATTTCTGATATTAGTATTTTATGTCCTTTCCCTTTTTTTCTTAGGTTGCCTGGTAGGGACTTCGGGGTTTTATTGATCTTTTTCAAAGAATGAACTTTTTGTTTCATTGATATTCTCTGTTGATGTTCTGTTTTCAATTTCACTGATATGTGCTCTAGTATTTTTGGTCTTAATTGGGCAATTTTTTCTTTTTTTCTTTTTTTGTTTTGTTTTGTTTTGCCTGCTCTGATTATTTTTTTCTTCTGCTTACTTTGGATTTAATTTGTTCTTTTTCTAGTTTCCTAAGGTGGAAACTAAAATTATCGATTTTAGATCTTCTTTCTAACATATGCATTTAATCCTATAAATTTCCCCCTAAGCACTGCTTTTGAGGTACCCCACAATTTTAATAAATTGTGTTTTCATTTTCTTCTTGTTCAAAATATTTTAAAATTTCTCCTAAGATTTCTTCTTTGATTTATGTGTTATTTTAACATGTGTTATTTAATCTCCAAGTGTTTGGGGGTTTTCCAGCTATCTTTTCTGTTATTGATTACTAGTTTAATTCCACTATGGTTGGAGTACATACTTTTCATGATTTCTTTGTTTTTGTTTTGTTTTTTTAATTCAGTAAATGTGTGTTTTATGGCCCAGAATGGTCTGGCTTGTTGAGTGTTATGGAACACTCCCCAAGTGAGCTTCAAAAGAATGTATAGTCTGCTGTTGTTAAATGAATTAAATGAATTATAAATGTTAATTAGATCCAGTTGATTAGTGCTGCTGTTCAAGTCAGTCAAGCCCTTACTGATTTTTTGCCTGTTGGGTCTGTCAATTACTGATAAAAGGGTGTAGCAGTCTCCAACTAGAATGGTGCATTCATCTGTTCTCCTTGCAGTTCTATCAGTTTTTGCCTCAGTACTTTGATGCTCTGTTGTGAGGTAATATACATTAAGGATTGTTATGCCTTTTTGGAAAATTGATCCTTTGTCATTATCTAATGCCCCTTTTTATGCCTGATAATTTTCCTTGCTCTGATGTCTGCTCTGTCTGAAATTAGTATAGCTATTCCAGCTTTCTGTTTATTAATCTTAACATGTCATATCTTCCTCCATTTTACTTCCTCCCTTTACTTTTCATCTATGTATGTCTTTATATTTAAGGTGTTTTTCTCATAGACAACATATAGCTGGGTCTTGTATTTTTATCTACCATGATAGTTTCTGTTTTCATTGGTATATTTAGTCTACTGATATTTGGAAAGATTACCAATAGAGCTGGATTAGTGTCTACTATATTTGTTACTATTTTCTATTCATTGCCCTTGTTCTTTGTTTCCTTTATTTTCTTCTCCTCTTTCTTCCTTTTTTTTTTTTTTTTAAGAATTTTTTAAAATTTATTTGACAAAAGAGAGATGCCCTCCATCAGGGCATCAGGCTCACCCATCAGGCTCACCCAACCTCCCACCCCCTCCCCTCCAAAACCCTCAGTTTGTTTCTCAGAGTACCACAGTCTCTCATTATTCCTCTCCCCCTCCGATTTCCCCCAACTCCCTCTCCTCTCCATCTCCCCATGTCCTCCGTGTTATTCCTTATGCTCCACAAATAAGCAAAACCATATGATAACTGACTCTCTCTGCTTGGCTAATTTCACTCAGCATGATCTCCTCCAGGCCCATCCAGGTTGACTCTGTCTTCTCTGGTGTTAATTGAGTGTGTCTATTATTTCATTTTCCCTGTTAGCATTTCAGTTATACCTCATTTTCTACTGTTTTTCGTAGTTGCCCGAGTTCACAGTATACATTTAGAATGAATCCAGGTCCACCTTCAAAAAACACTGTAACACTTTACAGGGGATGCCAGGTACCTTATAAGAGAATATTAGCCATTCTTCCCTCCTATCCTTTATAACCATCCTGTCACTCATTTCACTTATCCTAAGCTGTACTTAAATTGTAGCAATTATTGTTTAGAACAGTTATCTGTTAGATCAATTAAGAATAAGAAAAGAATAAGAAAAGAGAAGATTTTATATTAATTTATTACTTTTTCCTGCACTCTTCTGATCTGAGTTTCTTGTCTATCTCCTCGTCCATCTCTCTGAAGAACTTCTTTTAACATTTCTTGCAAGTCAGGGTTACTGATGACAGATTCCCTTAATCTTTGTGTAAGCAAGTCTTTATTTCTTCACTTTTGAAGGGATAATTTCACTGGATACAGAATTTTTGCATGGTGGTTTTTCCTTTTAACAATTACTCCATTCTCTTCTTCTTTGTGTGGTTTCCAGAGAAGTCAATGTCATTCTTCTTGCTTCTCTATAGGTAAGTGGTTTTATTCTGGCACCTTTCGATATTTTTTTCTTGTCTGATTTTCTGCAGTTTGAATACAACTTGCCTGGGTGTAGATTTTTGGCTATTTTTCCTGCCTTGTGTTTTCTGAGGTTCTTAGATCCTTGATTTAGTGTCTGTCATTAATTTTGGAAATTTCCCAACTATTATTACTCTAAATATTTTTTCTATTCCTTTCTCGTTTTCTTCTGCCTTCTAATATTCCCCTTACATATATGTCACACCTATTGTAATTGTCCCCCAACTCTTGAACATTCTTTTCTTTTAAATTTTTTTTTCCTCTTTGCAGATCAGTTTTGGAAGTTTCTGTTGACATTCTACAAGCTGACAATTCTTTTCCCAGCCATATACAGCCTCTTGCAGAGGTCACCAAAGAATATCTTCGTTTCTGTCATAGTGGAGTTTTTCCTAGCACTTCCTTTTGATTCCTTCTCAGAGTTTCTATTTGTCTGCCTACACTTCCCATCTGTTCTTGCATTTTATCCTTTTCTTATTACAACCCTTAGCATATTAATCATAATTTAAAAAAAAATTCCTGGTCTTATAATTCCAAAACCTTTGCTATATCTGTGTCTGCTCTGATACTTGCTCTATGTCTTCAAGCTGTGTTTTTTGTCTTTTAGTATGCTTTGTCATTTTTGTTAGAAGCCAGACCTGATCCACTGGGTAAAAGGAGCTAAGATAAAATAGGCCTCTACTGTAAGATTTATCTGGCTTGAGATTAGGCTTTGTTTATTATTTCTTTTCAATGTAGAGGCTAAATCTTCCATTCATGCCCTTATTTCTGTCTCCCCTGTTAGCTTTGGGTTTCCCTTCAGACTTGTCCTTAAATGAGATCTGAGGTGTTAGTTGTGTCATAATCCCCCTGGTACTGGCTCCAGTGGTGGCTTCTGCTCCTGGGCTTCTACCTGGCAAGCTGTGATTCTCTGTATCCACAGGTCTGTCTCCCCAGTTTCAGAGGCCACAGTTTGCCCTTTGACTTCAGTTCTTTAGTGGATCTTTGAAGACTTGTTGATTTTTAGTTTGTTTTGTTTTGTCTTTTTTACTGTGGGGGTGGAGAGATGACTTCCAATCTCCTTAACGTGCCAAACTAGAAACCAGAAGTCTACTTTTTTTAAACTTGATTTTGAACATGTGGATTTTTTTTTAATTACTTAAAATCTGTTACAACTTGATATTAGTGGTCTTTCTCCCCAAACCAAGCACACCACTGTTATTAAAAATAGCAGGACAAGTTGAGTTTGAAGGATATTCTACAACTGATCTAATACTCCTTGGAACTCTCATGGTCACCTAAAGAAAAGTTTGAAACTGTTACAGTTTAGTGGAGGAGACCAAGGAGACTTGATGGATTTGTCCTGAAACATTAAGGAAAAACTAGTGAAATCCTGATAAAGGGTGGGTTTAGGAACCTACCATTGTGTGTTCTATCTTTGCGACAAAGGCACCATGGTTATTAAATGCTAACAGTAAAGAAAACTGGGTGCAGAGCAAACAGAAACTCTACTGTCTTTGTAACTCTTCAGTAGATTGAAAACTATTCTTTTTTATTATTATTATTTATTTGACAGAGAGAGACACCACGAAAGAGGGAACACAAGCAGGGAGAGTGGGAGAGGGAGAACCAGGCTTCCTGCCAAGCAGGAAGCCCGATGTGGGGCTCGAACCCAGGACCCTGGGAATATGACCTCAGTCCAAGGCAGCCACTTAATGACTGAGCCACCCAGGCACCCCAATTGAAAACTCTTTTAAAATAAAATTTTTACATGAATAGAAAATTGTAATTATTCTACTAAAAATATTGGTGCAATTATACTTTGCCCTTTTTATCCAGGTGTAAAATACTTGAGGTTTCCAAAGGCATACGGTAGAGCTTGGTGCAGCACTTTACAGAGGATCTTTGTGTGTGCTTTCGAACATCACAACAGTCTTGGCAAGTAGACAGCGCAGGCATTATGCCTTTGGTATGAGACTGTTGGTGAAGAGAGGACGTCTGCCCCGTTCCTGCCATTCAGTGGCAGGCCTGACACCCAGCAGTGCTGCTTCTGTTCCCCTGGCCCATCATTTACCAAGGGGAGCTGTTTTTAGCAGGTGTTTAACTCATTTAAGAAGAAAAATATCTCCGGAGGGAGCTATATCCATTTGTATTTATTAAAGCAAGTGAACACCAAGAAAATTCTACGAAGACAAAATTTACCAGAAATAATGTTTTCAGCACTTTTTTTTTTCATTTTGACTCATTTGTCTTCCAGGTTCCTTGCTGGTCTATGTCGATCACCTTCTTGGAGAAGGGGCCTTTGCCCAGGTCTATGAAGTTACCCATGGAGAGGTGAATGATACCAAAAATAAACAGAAATTCGTTTTAAAGGTAAATAATCTGAGGGCTTCATTGTATAGTATAGAAATGAATTTTAGAACTCGAGTTCGTCAGCCTCTTTTTTCTTTTTCAAGACAATGGTGATTTCACTGAGGTCTATAGTCCACAATTAAGAAACAAAAGCCATATGGCAAGGATTTAGAAGGGCCTTGCCACAGAAATGATCTCACAGCAAGTCGCATACTTGAGCAACAGTCCCTAGCTTGTCATCACTTTCTACCCCACATTGTTTATTGGGGTGGAAGTTGCTATCGTTTTCCAGAACGTGAGGCTGGATGTGAATGTCACACACCTGATTTGCAGGTCCAGAAGCCCGCCAACCCCTGGGAGTTCTACATCGGGACCCAGCTGATGGAGAGACTGAAGCCAAGCATGCGACACATGTTCATCAAATTCTATTCCGCCCACTTCTTCCAGAACGGCAGTGTATTAGTAGGCGATCTCTACAGCTACGGCACGTTGCTAGTAAGTGTATTCATCATGATGATGTGAACAGGAGCTTGAAGGCCATCGTTGGCTGGTGCCTGGACGTACCTTCCGTAGTTGGAGCTTCTATTGGAGTAGTGGGTGAGGGGTGAGAGCAAAGCTCTTGACTCTAGAGCTCCTCCGTCCTGGGCGACCAGTTCAGGATTCCCCTCTGTGTTCTTTCTAGAATGCTATTAACCTCTATAAAAATACCCCAGAAAAAGTGATGCCGCAAGCTCTGGTCCTGTCCTTCGCGATCAGAATGCTCTGCATGATTCAGCAAGTGCACGACTGTGAAATTATTCACGGAGACATTAAGCCCGACAATTTCATACTGGGAAACAGGCAAGTGTTGCACTTTGTACGCAGTTCTTACTGTGTCCCTCGCAGCCTTTCCTTATTTGTGCTCATGCTGCCTGGCCCTTGTTTATGTCAATACAGATTTTTGGAACAGGACGGTGATGACGATGATGTATCTGCTGGCTTGGCGCTGATTGACCTGGGTCAGAGTATAGACATGAAACTTTTTCCAAAAGGAACTACGTTTACAGCCAAGTGTGAGACCTCTGGTTTTCAGTGCATCGAGATGCTCAGCAACAAGCCGTGGAGCTACCAGGTATGGGGCTCGGGAGAGCTTTGAAAACTGTTTGTTTTGCTGGCTATATTTTTAAAAGGAACTTGGGGATCTCATTAGTTTGACCCTGTCTCATCATCTTCTGTCCTTGGACTTAAGACCATGCTCAAGTGTTGTTTTCAGTGATGGACACACCCCACAGCTAGAGGCTTCTGGATGCAGGTGGAGGCCAACCACCAGAGTCCAGGGGAGGGAGGGATAGGACTTCTAAGCTGTCCATGTGCAAGAGGGGTTGGAGTGCTGTGTTTGCCCCTGGACAGCAAAACGGAGGACTTGAGAAGGACATGGTAGGTCCGGAAGAACCACTTTAAAGGGGCTGCCTCCAGCAAAACCCAGACAGACATTCAGCTGGGTGTACCAGTGGGGCCCTGAACAAATGGCTTCCCAAAAATGACTTAAAAGTAAAATCCTGTGATGATTTAACCAGCTGCCAAAGTAGAGACCTCCTCCCATGCTAATGCCTAAGTTACTGTTCTAGTCACGGATACCTAGATTTTCTTTATAGATTGATTACTTCGGGGTTGCTGCAACAGTGTACTGCATGCTTTTCGGCACTTACATGAAAGTGAGAAATGAAGGAGGCATCTGGAAGCCGGAAGGTCTTTTTAGGAGGTGAGAATTGGTGTTGGAGCAGCAGTGGGAGGACATACACAGTAGAATGCTGGGTTCCGTCTGGTAGAAAACGGGGTCTCGGTCACGGCCTGGAAACCCCCCTGTCTGAATGGGGTCTCGGTCATGGCCTGGAAACCCCCCTGTCTTGGGGTAGACATAGCACAGCCAGCAAGTCACACAGCCAGCGAGTCACACAGCCAGCGAGTCACACAGCTAGGCAACTGCAGCTTTCCAGGAGTGGGGGCAGCCGCCACCCACCCAGACCCAGCAGAAGTGGGCGGAGGGGCGGGCCTCCGGACACAGGCAACAGTTTCTCCTTACCCTTCAGAGAAATCACCTGTTCTCACTGAACCATCGATTTTTACTTGTTTTCTTGCCTTTATAAATGGGAATCGTGCTGCACATACTGTCCTAAGAAATGTCTTCTAAGAAGCAAAGGAAATCATGTATGAGAAAGAATGTGCCTTGTTGATTGTAAAGTAACGTGACAGGGCAGCTCGCTGTCCCAGGGCAAGATTTTAAGGCCCATCCCTATGTGACTCTAGTTTTTGTAAGACTGTTTTCTCATCTATAAGATGGTAGTGAAAATTAACGACTAGCCTAGAACTCTTCCTATCAACGCAGATGGCTCTTAACTCTATGTCACGTGAATGAGCTATTGGTGGTGTGTGTTTGCTACATGCATGTTCATGGTATCACTTATACTTTTGTTAACTTTTTTTAACATATGTAGAAGCATACACTCACCTTTAGTATCCAAAAAGCCTGAAGGAGTTTTACATGTTTATATCTTGAGGAAATTTAAGCTGGGACTCCCCCGACCCCTCATGTACACACCCACCCACCACAACCCAAAAAAAAAAAAGCTGTTGGCAGTAATTTTACAAAATGTAGCTTCAGTATAAAAATAAGATTAGATTCAGGCCCTGAAGGAAAACTTAGAACAGCTATGATTTATTCTGCCTCATGAGTCATCAAATTTAGCAAATACTTTATTCCTTCTCTTGCTCCTAATCAAAGGACCAGAGAGTTGTTCTGAAGGCTTCTGCCTCTGACCACCAGTGCCCTCAGCAGGCCTGAGAGTAATGGGCTGAATTTAGTTGTGTTCTGCTCTGTCCCCGGTGCCTTATCTCTATGCCATGGGGGTTTTGCAGTTCATTCTCATGCTCCCAGGAGCTGGAACTCTGACCCTGAGCTCTGTCCTGAGCCCTAGTCCAGCCTGTCTCCCTGGTCCCAACACATACGCCGTTGGGCTTGTCAGAACCATTCAGCCAGCTTCTCAGATGCTGACGGTATGATCCCATAAATAAATAAATGTAATAATAAATGTAAATAAATGTAATAATAAATGTAATAAATGTAAATAAATAAAAGAGAAAGTTCTTCCACTGTAGACCTATCACTACACTAAGACTGCTTAAGTACTGTTTTGGAGTAAAGTGTGTCTAAGACATTTAGTTGGATCTTTAGTTCCTCTTACTTGTAATAGAGTCAACATCCCGGTGCTTGATGCATCGGGTTGTGTGTAGGTGAAGTTCTGTTCAGCTGGCCAAGCGCGTGGAAGCGGGAGGCAGGAGTGAGGTTCCCCGGCGTGTTGGACACTACAGTTCACCTGGTATTTTATGCATTGTGTCTCCAGGCTGCCTCATCTGGACATGTGGAGTGAGTTCTTTCACATCATGTTGAATATTCCCGATTGTCATCATCTTCCGTCTTTGGATTTGTTAAGACAAAAACTGAAGAAAATATTTCAACAACACTATACAAACAAGATTAAGACCCTACGTAATAGGCTAATCGTACTGCTCTTAGAATATAAGCGTTCTCGAAAATAAAATACGGACATTCCTTAAAAATCACTTTGTAAATGCTGGCCTGCTCACTCTGATCCTTGAGGCTTTCCATATTTCTTGTTTATGTAAATGTTTCTTAAAAATAAAGTCCACAAAATATATCTAGGTGACTTGGTTGTTATAAATATTTCATCAAAGTGTACAACCTAGTAAGGCACCCCCACATTGCAGGTGATGGAGCACCTCTTGGGATGCAGGCATTCAGAAGAATAATTTGGATTCGAATATTCTCTAAAAAGGCTTTTAAACACTCTCCTCTTCCCCTTTAAGCCAAAAAAGGGGTAAGAGCTTTTTTCTAAGGTGAGGGTTTGTATTTGTATATAATAAACAAATTCTCCAAAGATATTCAAAGGATTTCAAGTTTTTATGGATAAAATTTGCCTGTTCTTTTTTTTTTTTTTTAAGGCTTATTTACTTATTTGAGAGATAAGATGGGGGAGGGGCAGAGAGAAAGAGAATCATTAAGCAGACACCCCGCTGAGCAAGGAGCCGCTCGTTCGCAGGGCTCCATCCCAGGACCCTGAATCATGAGCTGAGCCAAAATCAAGTCAGGGACTTCACTGACTGAGCCCCCCAGGCACCCCAAAATTTGTCTGTTCTTTATTGTACCGTTCTGCAGTGCTGTCCCTGGGAAATGTAACAGGTATAAACCTTAAGCTTCTTTATTTTTTAAAAGCACCATTCAAAGGAATATATCCCATCTTGTAAATAGTTTTAGAAGCTGTATAAATCATGAATTACCTCTACAATTATAGCAGCCAACTTAGCATTTATTGACTTTTAAAGCTGGAAGTGTCCTCCCTCCTTTCTTTAGCATTATGTTGAAAAGAAATCTGAGGTGACACCCAATTCAAGAGCACAGAGCAAACTGCTTCGTCCTCCCACCCTTAACTCCCAGCCACCAGGTACCTGTTCCAAGAGCAACTGTGGCTCACTTTTTTTTTAATCTTTACAAAAATGATTCTATGCATATTTCTCTGTATTTTTCATACCACTGGCATATTGTGGTTTTTTAAAATTTAATGTATGGGGTGTATTTACATGTAGGATGGTCTCATTTTTGTTAATGACACTAATATTTCATTATATGCTGTATCTGTAAATTCCTAGAAACAAATTGCAGGGTCAAAGGTTGATGTATTTAAAATGTTATGTTAGTGGGCACCTGGGTGGCTCGGTTGATTAAGCGTCTGCCTTCGGCTCAGGTCATGATTCCAAGGTCCTGGGATTGAGCCGCACATCAGGCTCCCTGCTCAGCGGGGAGCCTGCTTCTCCCTCTCCCTCTGCCTGCTGTTCCCCTGCTTGTGCTTTCTCTCTCAAATAAATAAATAAAATCTTAAAAGAAAAAAAAAACAAAAAAAAAGTCCTCTAATTTTTTGATACTAGTACTGATTTAAATACTTAGGACTAAGCTTTTGGTTGCTTAAATCAAATTAGATCTAATTTTTTCCTATTTTTCCTAGCTGGTAGTTTTGAATATATGAAGCCTGTTCATTTCTGTTTAAAAAAAAAAAAAAAAAAAAAAGGCTTTTCGGACAATTCTTTGGAAGTTCCCTGGTAAATAGTCTTCAGTATGAAAACCCTGTGTATGTCTTTGCCTGTTTTTCACTGACAATTTTCCTCTTACTGGCTGTTGAGAAGAGGGCTGAGCCCCGGTGGCAGCGGCCTCCCCGCCTCCTGCTGTAGAGGGAGCTCTTCTCACCGTGACCCAGTAAGCTCACATGAGAGAGACATGTTCCATCATGTTGGAGAAGCACCCGTCCATTGCTTCTTATAAACGTGAATTATGACATGTTTCTAGTTTTCTTGCCCGTCTTTACACATTTAGTGACAAAATAATCAAGTACTGATAAAGCCAAGTTTGTGGTTTTTTTTTTTTTCTTTTGAAAATGACTGTTTTCAGGGGAAAGCAAGACAAAAGAAGATAAGGCTGCTGTTTGCTAACCTAAGAGCAAAATGTGTCCACCCCTGAAAGGCAGCTGGGGGTGCCTTCAGTCTTGGGCAGGGAGGACACTTGGTGGTCTGGCCCCTGTTGACATGCCCTTTGTTCCCACCAGCCAATTTGCTATTACAGGATCTCCAGCTTCGATCACATTCCCGATCCCCTCCGTGTTATTCACACCAATAAACTCAGCCTGACCACGGTGTCGTCTCAGCACTGCTGTTGCCCATCTGGTGTCTGATCTATGCCAAGGGCTTTACTTAAATAAACTTCACAGTCTCATTTCCTAGCAACAGCCTTTTCTCCAGGGAGAAAGGCTCCATCTGAACAAAGTAAGTTACTTTAAGCATTTCAGCCAAATAGTCTTTTTTTTTTTTTTTTTGGTCCATTACTTGGTACAAATTATAGCAATCATCTTTAATTATAAATTAGTTGTCTGCATTGCACACACACACATCCAATGTTTATCTGCACAAGGAAAAAAGCTCTAACCAAAGGACAGCTGAAATGTATGTATGAGAAGTCAGCATTGGGAGGGAGGAAATACAGCTCACGCCAGTAACGAGCCTGAAGTTTCCCCGAGAACAGAGCTGGGTCTTTTCCATCCGTGTCCCCTGCAAAGCTGAGCAGGGGTAGGTTATGCTAAGTGCTCCGACAATGGCTAGACTCAGCGTGGTTTCAAATTTAATATCTGCCTCGGGTCAAGACATCTCGTATTCATTCTTGGCCCTGGACTCCACGTTCTAAGTTCTAGCTAAGAATCAATCTGGTCCCGACTCCTAAACTATCAGTACCTTTTCCCTGTGGATCACATCTGTGGTCTAAGGAATGATTCTAAAACTGACTTTTCTAAAGACTAAGGACCTGCAAGTGTAACTCCCGCTTATCAGAAGTAAGAGCTATTAAATAGCTGGGCATTTCGCACAGTGTCTAAGGACACCCACAAGCTATTACTACCCCACACCTTCCTCTGCCACTGATCCTAGGACTCCTCATTCTTGGTCTTCCATTTTCCTCATTCCTGGAGTCAATCCATCTGTCCATCGGTTCCATTCTGGAATGTTTCAGACGAACCCATGTCTGGACTGGCCTGGTTGTAAGCAGCCTAAGGTGCCGTAAGAGAGGAACCTCTCCCCACTCCCCCCACCCCTCCTGCCGCCCCAACACACACAGTAGTTTAGAGAAGACAAGTTATTAAAGTCTCCTGTTACAGTCTGGGGGTAAGTGACGCCGTGCTGGCACCAACTCTGCCACCCTCCACAGAAGGCTTCCAGTATATTCTGATTGTTGCCATTCTTAGTCAAGAAGTGGAGAAGATGGAGAGACTGCTCCGGAGGGCAGGGCCGGTAAGGTGCAGACCTGGATTGGGCTCACAGTCCAAGGGGCTGACACAATCATGTTTCCCATCTTCCTGCCAGGGAGACAGGAATAAAGTGGCCAGCTGGGAGACCATGTGCCAAAACGTGAGGGTGACACGTTCACTGAAAGGTGGAAGAAAGACCCAGAGAAAGGTGCCAATGGCAACAACTCTTGTTAGTGCTTCCTCTGAGACTGTTTCCTTGAAGGGGGCAGTGGGGCCCCCTGGTGGCCATGGGGACTGCTGCAGGTCAGGAGTACTTGGCTCCAGTCTCTCCCACCCAAAGGCTCATCCGTCAAGAAAATTATAAGAGGGCGCCTGGGTGGCTCAGTTGGTTAAGCCACTGCCCTCGGCTCAGGTCATGATCCCACATTGGGCTCCCAGCTCTGAGGGGAGTCTGCTTCGCCCTCTGACCTTCTCCCTTCTCATGCTCTCACTTCATTCTTTCTCAAATAAATTAATTAATTAAAAAAATCTTTAAAAAAGAAAATTACAAGACAGGGTTTAACTCTGTCACTGTTTAATGTCGAACAGGTGGAACAACATATAGGTCCACCAATAATTCAAGTTTTCAATCAATCATGAAACACTGATGGCATGCAACACTTGGCTGCATTGTGTGTGTGTGTGTGTGTGTGTGTGTGTGTATACAAACACACGTATATCAAGATGAAAAATACTGCTAAGTGAAAAAAGGCTCTTGAACTATATATACAAAAATGTCATGACATCCCACTTAGGATAAAAAATGCAATTACAGTTGACCCTTGAACATGAGCTTGAACTCATAAGCAGGTCCACTTATATATGGATTTTTTTTTAATTACAGAACTGTAAATGGATTTTCTCTTCCTTATGACTTAATTAACATTTTATTTTCTCTAGCTTTACCATAAGAATATAGTATATAATACACATTACATGTAAATTACATGTTAATCAGATGTTATGTTACTGGTAAGGCTTTTCTGGTCAACAGTAGTCTGTTAGCAAAGTTTTGGGGGGAGTCAAAAGTGATATGCAGACTTCTGACTGTGCTGGGATCAGTGCCCCTATACCCCACCCCGTGTTGGTCAAGGGTCCGCTGCACATTCATGACAGACATGACTGTAAATGGGTAGGTGTGTTTCCAGAAGGACAAACAAGAAACTCAGCATTATCACTGGGAAGGGGGCTTCACATTGTGCACAGAAGAATAAAGGGGAGGTGGGCGTCAGGAAAAGGAAGAATACAGAGCAACTTCTGACTTTTTACTATATTTCTGTGTTGAGTTTTTTGTTTCTTTTTTTTTTTTTTTTACAATGACTGCATAGTTTCTCACTTAAAAATGCCCAGCACGTGTTCAAGTTAAAAAAATTAAGTTGCCACTGGGTACACTGAGCGTATAATATTTAGTATAACAATACATGTTAGGTATACGAAGAAATAAGAGCAGTCCGGAGGGTAGCAGGACTCCATAAACCCCATAAGATGGGGGTCAGCAACATCCCACCTTCTGAGGATCGTCATGGTAACAGAATTCTAAAGCAGCAATGCTGGATACCAGGTGTGGCTTTGAACCAGAAACAGCAGTCTGTGAGAGCAAGCATAGAAGGGGCAGGGTCGGCATCCGTCTGCCCAACCTCCTCCTTCAGCCCCCTAGTCTTGGGGTGGGAGGTACCATCCATCCCAACTGTGGGGGGGGCAAAAGGGGAACACAGGCATGACGGGGCATGGTCCGTGGGGAGCCGGGGTATGATGCCAGATGATCTGGCCCCAGAGGCTGTGCCCGAAACTTTGGCTTTGCTCCTACACCAGAGGTC